ATCCCTACTTATGCCTAACTAATTATAATCTTTTCTTACCCTTTATCCACAATATCCTGCATCTAGCTTATTTTCTTCTATCTTGATAGATCTTGGTACAACTATCCGGAAAGCCAACTCCAAAGTTTTTCGCTACTCAGGCTATGTTACTAGAATTGCTCAATACTACGGTAACGGTTTTAAGCGTAGTTAATAAGTCTAGCAGAAAACTTATGGGTTGATGAAAGATTGAATGGATAGGAACCAATTCACACCAATGGTAAACTAGCATTCGTGTCTTAATATTTCTCATACTTATCGCCAAACAGAAAAGTGGTAGCATTCCTAGATAGTTGAAATCCTTTTTTGCGTAGACGTCAGCCGTAATAGGTACCACCAACCACCCCTTCTGGTTTGCACGGCACAATAATGCACGCGCGAATACATGTGCATTGTTGCCGTGTTCCGGTCTTCAAGATAAAGAGAGTCGGCAAAATTACAGGCTGCTGGGGGACATTCCATCTTAGTTACCAAAGGTGACAACGCATTCGCAGCCTCCTTTTTTTTTTGAAGTTTGTTGCAAATGCCCATGGCTGCAGGAGTCGCTTAACACAATGTGAAGTGAACGTAGAATGTAGTCACTTCAATTTTATAAAAAAAGAACTCCACTTAATTTTTTGTCCGTATTGCAACTAGTTCTGTGATTCCACCAACCACCCCTTCTGGTTTGCACGGCACAATAATGCACGCGCGAATACATGTGCATTGTTGCCGTGTTCCGGTCTTCAAGATAAAGAGAGTCGGCAAAATTACAGGCTGCTGGGGGACATTCCATCTTAGTTACCAAAGGTGACAACGCATTCGCAGCCTCCTTTTTTTTTTGAAGTTTGTTGCAAATGCCCATGGCTGCAGGAGTCGCTTAACACAATGTGAAGTGAACGTAGAATGTAGTCACTTCAATTTTATAAAAAAAGAACTCCACTTAATTTTTTGTCCGTATTGCAACTAGTTCTGTGATTCTTTTGGAATGTATTGTACGGTCGTCCACGCACTATACCTATTTTGGTTTCAGTATTCGCTTGTGAGAGTTATTGTTAGCTCAGCGTTTCATATGCATTATTTGTACAATTTGAATGTACTCGTATCTTGATGGATCAAGTAGCATGAAATTTTAAACTTATGTTCAAGATTTTAATGGTGTAGGTACAAAACGTTTCACTGATTAATGTTAATTTTAATAGTATACCTAATATTAAAAGAATTTAGTCTAAGGTAATGTAAATGTGAAAACTGGATGCGTGAAGCTAAAGATTGAGATGAGTATTAGCCTTCAGAGTGGCCCGTATCTAGCAGTAGATTACCACAGACTTATAAAAATTTATATAAAATTTAAACATATTTAAAATTAGAACTTTGATATTTTACGCCATGTAATGGTGGTATATAGTCATTGAGTGGCGGCCTAAGAAAATCTACTACCACATATCATCCTGAGGATATCGTATGTAAACCTGTGGTTGTTCAATTTAAGCTACGGTAGGTCTACTCGTATGTTAAGCAGTGGACTTTATTATATATTTATAAGCTGGAAAGAATGAACTTTGATATTAACGTGTAGATTCTTATTTTATGTTTATATTTTTAAATAGATGCTGTTTTCTGCCGACTTCAAAAAGGAGACGGTACTCAATTCCATTGTATGTTTTTTATGTGTGCTACCTCATAACTTTTTACTGGGTAAACCGATTTCGATGATTTTTATTTGAAAGCTGGTACTTCACATGTGGTCCCATACGAATTTGATCAAAGAATTGAATATTTATTCAAAAACTAGTAAAGAATGTAAGAAACTTCTTATTGAATGGCTCAAGAGGAAAGATTATCACGAAATCGAAAATGTGTTAAAATAACACGGCATACAAAGCACGTGCATACACGTGTAATCACTCAAACACACACAAAAACGCACGCATACACACAAACACACACACACACACACACACACACACACACACACACACACACACACAAACGCACGCATACAAACACACACACACATATTTTTTTCTTTTTAAATTAATTTATCAAAGGGAAAGGAATTTTATGTTATTCTTGTAACTACAAGTATTGTATGTTAATTATGGAAGAGCGAGTTTTCCTGTCACAAGTATTGAAAAATACTTAAAAGGAGAACTTTGTGTACTGCTGATGATGTAAATTTATTGTTACAGAATAAACATTTTTTGATTTTGATTTTTTTTTTTTTTATATTGAAGTCGGTTGTACAAAATTTTAAATTATACCATGTTATAAAAGAAAATCCAAATCTTATTTCAATAGTTCAATCCAAGTCAGTGCAAAACGTGAAAACTTTGAATTGCTTTTATTCATTTTGATGAGATATCGACTTACTCAAGGTCGAAATTGACTGATCACGTACATAAAACTTATTTATTCTTTATGGAAAAAGAGATTCTTGAGTGTAATTTATTACATGCCGTCAAAAAGTTAAAAAGGTAAAGTGTGTACGGTTTCACACATTTGTTAAAGATATGTTTCTAGTGTTGAAATGTGACGAAAATATATTACCTACAGACTAGTTGATCCATCTGTGTATTACAACGCGATTATTCCTCTTAAATATTTGAAGTTGTTTATTTTTGTAATAATACTTTTTATCATATTGATATTCTCCTATTCAAGTTACAGCTATGGCGATAACTTCTGAAAAATCTGAAACTGTCAACTTAATTGACATCCAATTTTCAAACAAAATTGTGTAATGAATACAATAGATATTATAATGGCAGAAATGTATGTATATACAGGAGCTCACTCTCGCCTTAATCTCTGGTAGGTTACCAAACGCGAAGGTATCTAACGTGAACTAACCTCTTAGGTTAACGATGCAGAATCGAAAGTTTTTGCACAACCTTGTCTCTGGTTAGGAAAAACCCAGGGCATGCGGTGTAGTAGTCACGTACTCTACAAATGTCCACGTGCTAATCAAATTTTATTAAATATACTAGCTGGCCAGGCAGACGTTGTTCTACCCTTTTCGACAACCCTTCATATAAAAAATCCTTAAAGTCGTAATAAAAAAATAATGAGTGTCACTTATCAGGATAAAAACTATCCTACTCGTATCTCTCAAGTTGGACCAAACGGCACAGAGCGTGCAAAATTTTATTGAAATCAGTTCAGCAGTTTAGGAGTTCATCGCGGACAAACCACGTGACACGTAATTTTTATATATAAAGATAACTTTGAATGATACTAAATTTTTATCAAAAATCTTAAGAATGCACTGTGTGCAATGATCGTGCATATATTGTTTTATGAGGTTGAATCGTTTTTTAGTGAAATTTATAAAAAAAAAAACTAAGTAACTGACATTTTATTTGGGAGCATTTGTATATTATAAAATAAATAAAGTATTTTGCTGTGTGGTGGCAGGGTAAGATAATCCATTACCCCTATCGTTCCATAGGTAACTAGTGTGTAGTGCTAGAATGGTGCCATGGCTTCCCTCACTCTAATATTCCGATGGGACGGTAATCCGACACGACCGGAGAGAGGTCAGGTACAGGACCAACGGCTTTACGTGCTTTCCGAGATACGAAGATGAAACACCGCCAACTCCCTGAATCCAGGCCCCTATTGAGAATTTCTTGAAAGAAAAACCCAATTTTGATTCGACTCTGTATTCGAACTCGGAAACTCATGATCACCCACCGCGTTTACGGCCATTAGGCTAACGAGACAGTCATTGGTCTAGTGGTTGTTATATAATAAAGAACAATTATTATTATTTTGTTATATAATATAATACAACTTTGCTTAATACTAATTAAACAAAATTCTTATGTCTGCACATCGGGGAGTGTGGGGTAAGTCCTTGTTCGGCGCTGGAATTTTACGGTCTAATAAAGACGAAGGAGAAAGTATATCGTAGGACTTAATTTGGACTAGCATAATCTATCTATAGATAGAAAGAAACTTTTAGCAAGCGAATTTAGAAAAGTATTGTATACATATCTCGTCTCGGAAATGTCATCATCGTTACCAATCTATCTATATTTATACAAATAAATAAAATTGAATTATCTGTTTATGTCAAAATTACAGCTTTTTACTAAATGTATATGAAAGTATATATACGGTACTTATAAAAAAACTACAATTTTTAAAAATTTTGTCAGTCTATTTCTTCCGGCTAATCTCCATCACGGCTGGACCGATGATGGGACTTTTACTGGCAGATAACTGATGTCATAAAGAGTAACTTAGGCTACTTTTATTTTAGAAAAAGAATTAGGGTTCCGCGCATAAAAATTAAAACCCTAAATAAAACGCAGGCGGAGTCGCGGGGAACAGCTACTCTTTAATAGGATAAGACCTAACATTACAGGTTAACGATCGCATGATTTACCATAAATTTTATCAATGGTAACACTCATTCACTAGTTGGATGCCACAAGGCTAAACATTTCATTTAAATGAAGTGAACAAGATTTAGAAGGAATTTTCACATTTACCATTCTCTTGTTTTTCTTCTTTATCAGCCAGATAAAGTCCAGCGTTGGACATGGACATCTATTTATAATTGTAGAGAGAATTTGCCGATTATCTTATTAAAAGAGTATATTGCCAATGTTTATTGGTAATGTACATGTTATTTAAGTAAAGAAACAACTAGCATATATCTAATTGCTGAAAAGAGGGTTTTGGACCAGAGTCAGACGCGCTGTCTCAATGCGTCTTGGCGGGCTGCACATGTTTTCAAGATGTTTTTGAATTTCTTGAACATGCAGGTTTCATCTAGAGTTTCGTACGCCGTCCAAGCACATGGTAAAGTGGCACTTAAAATTGCAATTAACCATTTAATTGTTACCGTGTATACCGTGCTTATCACCAATGCTCCTATGGTACCTAATTCTACTCAATACTAAATCAACATGTTACCAAAAATATCTTCATTATTTATAGCTCTTCTAATTACGGTCAATGTTATTTTTCAGACAGATTATACTTTGCAACCCTAAAATCCGGCTACAAACCGAAACCTACGCGTAACAGTAAATACTTCCATATAGAAGATGAGATCGTCTACGAGAATTTTTATTTTGACTTTGGACCGTACCACCTGTGCCATTTGTATCAGTTCTGCAACAAGCTCAATGAGGAATTGGAGAGGAATCCGAAGAAAAAGATTGTATTCTATACCAGTAACAATGAGACCTTACGACTTAATGCTGCCTACCTTATTGGAAGTTATCAGGTATGGTCTATTTTTTAATTAGGACATTTTTTTAATTTAAGCCTCCTAGGACCTAAGAATTAGTTTAGGTTTTACTGAATTTATATTGTTTTTAAATTTGCATTTTCAAGGCCATTCTGCAGTAGGAGTCTTATTACCATTAGTTCTGTATATGTTTCTTAGTGAGGATATATTAAGCAATTTTTAATCATCTGATGTAACATTCACTCTTACACTGCCTCTCAAATTTGATAGTTGAAGTTGACTGGATGTAGACCATTTGAAGAATACGGACAAATCACGCACTCCATAAAAGGTCACAGACAGGTAGGTTAATTGGTGCAGTGCCAATACCATCACACTGGTGATGTTATTTCTGATCTTAAATTAACTTAAATTGTGGAGTCAAAAGAACTATTTTTTTTTATAGAATAGTGTGACAAACGAGCACACAGTCCACCTGATGGTAAGTGGTTGCTGTGGCCCATTGACATCCATTCATACGAGGGTGGATTGAAAAGTACTCGGCCTAACCAAGAAAATAAACAAATACTAAATCAGTTATATTTTTATTTTTCTACATAATCACCATCAAGTTCAATACACTTTTGCCACCTCCCCTTCAAAGCATTTAGACCGTTGAAAAAAAATGATTCTTCCTTAGAGTCAAAATATGCGTCTACAGCTGCTTTGACCTCGTCGTTTGTCGAAAATCTTTGACCTCCCAAGTGCTTTTTTAGGTTAGGGAACAGAAAGAAGTCTGATGGTGCCAGATCAGGTGAATACGGCGGATGCGGTAACAGTTCAAAGCCACAGTTGTGAATTTCAGCCATTGACTGTACTGACGTGTGAACACGGGCATTATCTTGATGAAACAGGACATTTCTTCTAAGCATTCATCGACGTTTTTCTTTTATTTCCTCTCGTAAACGACGTAATAAGGTGCAGTAGTAATCAGAGTTTATATTCCGACCCCTTTCAAGATAATCAATCATAATCACACCTTTCGAGTCCCAGAATACTGAAGCCATCACCTTATTTGCCGACAAAATCGATTTAGCCTTTTTAGGGGGTGGTGAACTAGGTCTTCTCCACTGTTTTGATTGTTGTTTTGTTTCCGGTGTACAGTAATGAACCCATGTTTCGTCCATAGTAACAAAACGATTCAAAAAATCATCTGCATCGGCTTCAAATAACTCCAAACAGTCGCGTGAAATAGTCAATCGCGTCCTTTTTTGTTCAACTGAAAGCAGTCGCGGAACCCACCTCGCAGACACCTTGTGGAAACTCGTTGACAATGATGTTTTGAGTTCGTTCATTAGAGATGCCTATAATCTCGGCTATCTCTCTAATTTTTAATCTGCGGTCTCCCATTATTAAATCAAGTATTTTTTTAATATTTTCGTCAGTAGTTGACGTCGAAGGCCTTCCAGAGCGGGGTTCATCTTTCACACTCTCTCTACCACGCTTAAAATCTGCTATCCATTTTTTTGACGGATGAATATGACAGAGCACAATCGCCTAATGTACTGACCATGTCATCATGGATGGCTTTTGATGATAGCCCCTTCTTATGGAGGTACTTAATGACGGCACGCTGCTCGATTTGCTCCATTCGCGGAAATTATGTCCGATTACTTTGTTAATAAATTTATAAAATCACAACTAATTATCGCACACGTTTCGAACTTCACACAATGAACTAGTCTGAACTGAACTAAATAATGTGGGTAGATTTGATTTTTAGAATTGAATGGATCTGTGTTAGGCCGAGTACTTTTCAATCCACCCTCGTAATTCATTTATTGCATGTCACAAAGTATAAAGTTGTTACAATATATCTACAGAGCATGTGACAACCCTGTACGGGCGTAGCATATTAAGATGGATTTTACATCTACATTTATCCTCGTTTTCGAATCAAAATGCAGATGCGTTGTCACCCGTGAGCACTAAGATGGAATGCCTCTTTTCCAGTAAAAAGGGTCTCCGGTTCTCTACACTCACCATACGAAACACAGCAGTGTTAAGCTGGTATTTTACGCTGGTATTCTGTGAGAGCGTGGTCCCCAGGTCGAGCTGACCCATTCGTGCTACAACTATACTGCTAATATAGCTGCAGCATGGCTCTACCACGTATTAAAAATCTAAAATATTAAAAATGTTGTATTGACTTTCAGATAATATACCTGGGCGGGTCCCCAGCGGCAGTGTACAAGCAACTGACGGAGGGAGGAGAATGGTCGCTGTTGACTTTCCGCGACGCGTCCGGAGGCCCGCCACTCTTTGACATCTCTCTATTGGATGTGCTACATGGTCTGAAAGTAGCCCATGATGCACGCTTCTTCGACTTCCGGCATTTCGATGCTGAACAGTATCTATTTTATGAGGTAGGTCGGCAAATGTTAGAATAAGCTTTGAGGTAACAGATAAGTATTGTGAGGACCAACTTTCATATTAATTGTATCATTCTAAGTTTTTGAAATACAACTGTTCACTTGGCTTTAGATTTATCACGTGGCTCTAGGTTCAAACATCAAGTTACATGTTAGTGGCGTCGAAGTCAAATTCGAGTTTTTTTTTTTAATTTACTATAATCTGATTTTCTTTTAACTTCTAACTACTTTGAATTAAATTATATTTTTTTTAAATGTAGGTACAATAAAGACATATTTAACTTTTTGTAAACTATGCGGCCTTGAATTTTATAGAAAACTAGCTGTTCCCCGCGACTTCGACCGCGTGGAGTTTTTTTTCGCGGAACCCTAAAATAAAAGCAGCCCAAGTTACTTCTTATAACATCAGCTATCTGCCAGTGTGTATAAATATTGATAAATATTGACATTAATATTTATACGATACTAACGTCACTCTATTGTTTTGACTTCCCGGAACCTCTCCACTAACACTTAAACTTTATGGTATGGTATTAAAGTTCAAATTGACTTTTAAGTATTACTACGAATCTTTTGTATGGGAATATAGAAAAGTTTTTTTTTTAAATTTTTCAGGTATTTTTTAAATTTTTCTTTCTGTAAGAACCATCTTTGTGCTTCAAGGAATATTATAAAAAAAGGAGTAGTGAAATCGGTTCAGCTACTCTCCAGATTTGAGCTTAGCAACACATTCAGCGATTCATTTTTTATTATAGATTTCGATTTGACAGCTTTTAAAGTATGTCATTTCTATTTACATGTGTGCTATCTAGATCTAAATCTATCCCAATATTTTAAACCTTCAAAATGAGATAACAGTGAATATCGCATTAGTGAAGGTCTCTTAAAACTTATAATTTATTTCAATAAACAAAAGAGTAAAGAATAATTCGTAAAACTACATAATAATATTCAATTATCGTTATTCATTTATTTTTCAGAAAGTAGAAAATGGCGACTTAAATTGGATCATTCCGGACAAAATGCTTGCGTTCTCTGGTCCCCACCATAGGTCGCGACTGGATCGTGGCTATCCCCTCCACAGTCCCGAGCACTACCACGACTACTTCCGGACCCACCACGTCACCACCGTCGTGCGATTAAACAAAAAATCCTATGACGCAAGGCAATTCACTGCGCACGGTTTCGAGCATCGAGAACTGTTCTTTGTGGATGGATCTGTGCCCTCTGATCTCATTGTAAATAGATTTATACGGATTGCGGAAGCTGCGAAAGGTGCTGTCGCCGTGCACTGTAAAGGTAAACTACTACTTTTTTTTATTACGAGAACATGCCTGATATTACATACATTCCTGATACCAATTTTAAACATGTAAGACCCTTACATTGCTATCAGTGATTGCTCATATGAAATTCTTCACAGACTATTAACTATGTTAATTCAAGCATTCTAGATAACAATGTATGGAAAAATTGGCAAAATTAATAGAGTACTTTCACCGTCACCAGCTACTCTCGTCGATTAGACTTACTGATTGTATGACTTAAATTTTCAAAATAGAATAGTGTTAGGTGTCGAGTTTAAATGGCACACCAACACGTAAATTTAATGGACTGTGTTTAATTAATTTAAACTTATTGCACACTGTACAATTATTAATGCCGCACAATAGTTATGGTTACAAGTTAGCACACTCTAGTATAGTACGCGCGACAGGTCGACATGGCAATTTTCTAGTGATGTGGCATCACGTACCAGGTAGTTTATATCGATATTTTTTTGTAATGCAACAAAATAGAGTAAAATTAATTAAATAAGGTTTATTATTATAAGTAAAATCAAAAAATATTTTATAATAATATTTTATTCATCACAATCAATATCAAATGAACTCATACTATCACTGCTACAAACAGTAACTCTTCATCACTAGTTTCTCCAGCTTCTTTGATAAAATCTTCCATTACATTTTCCATTCCTATATCCTTTTCCCAGTATTCATTCTTCAGTTTCCGAACATGCTTTACGAAATTTGCCCAGTTTTCTGCCTTAACTGTCGAAATTGCATTCATTTTAATCCTTTTTCAGTTTTGTCAAACACAAATCGCTCTTTATGTTGTATTCCTTTACGAAGCTTTTAATGGCGACCCAGGCTAATTCAATAGGATTTAAATCGCACATATATGGAGGTAGTCTTATAATATCATGGCCATGTCATATAATTATATTGTCAATTTTGTAATTGATATCAACGGGTCTGTATTGTTCTATAATTTCTAATAAATCTGGTTTCCTCATTGACCTGTCGCAAGAAATGTTATTGTCTTCCAATCATTTTATCATTGCAGATTGTAGCGAACTTTTTGTGGGGGGCTTATTTAGCTGGTATGGTAAAGTGCGTTGTCCATTACCACGACACTGCAGTCAGGAAGTGAAGGCAAAAGCTTTTCGACTACCTATTTCTCAAAATTCTCGGCATTAATTTTTTGTCCATGATAGTCGCCGGTAGTAGTACCGACCTTAAATATCAAAGGAGCCCCCCGGTAGAAATCCGTTTTTGCCTCCTGTGCTGACTACTATGAGTCTATTTCGAGAACTAGTATCTGTGAGATTTCTTTTTAATCCAGTCGTGCAACACTTTTTGTACGATTATTGTCCACCCACGTCTCATCTAAATAAAAAAATATTTCTGTTGTATTGTCGGAATTCTCTAATTTTCTTTAAATATTGATAACGTTTGAAAACTATATCTCGCTTTTCAATTAAAACATATTGTTTGGTTTGACACTGATGCCTCCTGTAGCTAATTTCTTTCAACAGCCTTTGTAACGTACGAACACACCAAGGAAAAGCTATTTTTTCGCGTAACGCAACAAGTAGCTTGGGCCATGTTGGAACGATTTTCTTTTGTAAATAAAACTCTGTTATAGTGATTCATAAATCAGTGTGCGATTTGAATTATTTATCGGGTCCTGCATGTTTTGATTGGGATTTTATTCTGGGCAAAGTTCTCGATAAGCTGGTGTAAAACGCAGCCCTATCCAATATCTGATTGACAGGATATTTATAATAATTGTTTTTCTGTTCCATGTCACAATTTACTAATACTTTTCTGGCTAGTTCTCGTACTTGAGAATGAATAATTGTTTTTTTTTTGTTTTAACACGTGACGAGGAAGGGTACCGAAGTCATTTTAATACACAACAACAAATAACAATGTGAGCGAGATCGAAATCGATAAACGTGGTCGATGCGGACTCGTATAGCGCTAAGACTAAGATTGCGCGGGCCGGCGATGTACGGGTATGCGGGGTGTCACCTTCCCCGAGCCTCAGCACATAGCCCTATTGTCCTGTCGATCTGTCGCGTCCTGTACTGTATCTCCATTGCAGTCAAGTGATACAAAAAAGGAAGGAAGTAGGTTACAGAAATACGAATGTTGCTATATTACAAAAAACATCGTTCTGTTTTATGTACGAGAATCGTACACATAGCAATATGTAATTAAAGAGTTTAGAAATTAATTATACCCCCTTTTGAAGAGCATTTTCTATTCTTTACTTTAGTCATACATATTTTGGCGGTTGGAAATTTTTGATAAAACTAAACTATGAGCAAAAAAATATCGGTTAATGATAAAAAAAAATCATATTTCATGGCAGATTGCGCGGAAACTATAAGTAATATCGCTTTTGTATGTATGTATGAGGTTGATAGAAAATTTGTCAAGGACCATTTCGTACCTTAACACTTTCTGGGGTAGGGGGAGGGAGAGTGCTTAGTTTGCTTAACACTAAATTTTTTTTATTTACTTAACTTAATATTTTTTTTATTTAATATGTCAGCGGGACTGGGGCGCACGGGCACGCTGATCGCGTGCTACATGATGAAGCACCACGGCTTCACGGCGCGCGAGGCCATCGCCTGGCTGCGGCTGTGCCGGCCCGGCTCCGTCATCGGCCACCAGCAGTGGTTCCTCGAGAAGTTCGTACCGCTCATTCATTCATTCAGTCATCATCACTTACAGCCTTCAGGTCCCCTGTAGAGCCTACAGGCCTTCCTCAAGGAAAGCCACTAAACATGGTTCTCATCCACTTGTACCAAGCCGTTATTATATTACATGGGCAGCCTCCCTAAAGCTTACTGGTACGAGCCTGCCACTCGGGAACCTACGAACCTAAGTAGGCTGTAACTTTACTTTGTATTACACTAAAATAAGATTCTATCATTAGTTAACCGTAATTATGTATTTTTAAATTTGCTTACATTGTTATAATATTTCAAGGGTAAAGGTGACCCAAAGGAATAAGATTTCATCCTGAAATCCCATTAGTGAATTTCTAAATCCTTCAGGTAGACTGTTCGCAGATTAGGTAGCTTCGCTTCTTTCTTTTTATTCTCCTAACTATTATTATGAATCCATTATTACAGTCATCCATAAATGCGCCTCTAATAACGAATTTATTCAAAGGTTTGCCCCTATTCCCCACACTGGGCAGAGGAGTTGGTGAGTGTAGTGCCAATACCTTTGCAATAGCAATTATACTCCCGTCACCACTGTAGGATTTGAGTTCGACATGTTATACTCAAGATGTATCTTGTCATCCTCCGGTTAGGATGCACCACGTGCAAGGTGAAGTTGGGGCAAAATAAGACTTATTCGGGCTTATTTTGTTAAATTTTTAGTGTCCAACCCCGAATGCATGCAGAAGGTGAGGCATACCGTCGCCGCCACAACATAACTTCGTTCCCGGTGTTCACGCGCGGCATCTACTGCGACCTGCCGCCAGAAACAAGGGACGTGCACGAAAAACCAAGTGGTGATAACAAACCAGTCTCACTGCAGTCAATACTGCATAGCAATAAAAATATGAATAAGGTTAGTAGAACTCTTTGACTTCCCATTAAAGAATTAATGGCAGATAAAGCAATGTACAACACTTAGAATTATAATTAAGATAGAGCTTGATTTAAATAAAGTAAAATAAGTAATAAGTTAACACACTTATTTTTTTTTTGTTTCAAGTTACCTAAGTAATGGAAGATCAAATCCACTAAAAGATAAATTTAGTTAGGATAGTTTGTGTGGTATTTATTAATGCTCTATGGCTTTACTTTTTTGTATTAGTCTATAATATGTTATTCGACCATGCGAAGGCTTGCTTTTCCTATAGTTAATCATTAAAAAATTATGTTACGGAGTAAAATTTCGGAAGTCCAAAGAATACATAAGACCATATAACTTTTTTAGTTTCTCAAAGCTCTTTGAGTGGTCCACGTTTTTATAATCCATGTAATAATTTATTAAGCATTTTAAGTAAGGTTTGAAACATTTTATTTATTCTCTATTGATCTTTATACAACGTATGTATATGAACAAAATGCGGACTTAATGTTAAAGCATTCTCTTCCAGATAACCTTCATTATGTTTAATTTGTAATTTATTTTTTGTAGCTGGACAACGCGAACGCACTTAACGCAAACGAAGCTGACTCTGAGAACAACGTAACATCAGTCATTGGAAAGTACAAAACTACGCCGACACCAATGTTGCCAACAAAAACCGTATTCACACCCAAAATGAATTACATGATGCCCACGAATAACATCCGCAATGCTAACAACACGAACTTAAAACCTCAGCCAAGGTTAATAAACTCCACCCTCAAATCGCATTATGCGTCGAAAACTTCAACTTTCCCGCCAACGAGAGGTGCGAATTCGCAAGCAAACAAATTGGTAGCCAGCGTCAAGTCGTCTTTCACAGGAAAAAATAGCTTCCACGGTCAAAGAGCTAACCTTGCCCGGCCAACGTTAAGCTATACGCACGGTAGCAGCCCTTTGAAAACATTCACTAGAAAAGCTGCGAGTGTGAGCAAAATTACGGCAAACGACACGTCTGTCGTGAACACACTCAGTAATGTGACGTCCCTATCGGCTTTGACAGAGAACTGTCATTTGAACGGCAAAAACCGATTACCCTCCGAGCCGAATTTGAAAACCGTCACCTCAACAAAAGGCTCTGTAGCTAACGTTAACGGTAGAAAGAAATTAATAATCCGTTCAAATTCAAGCTCCAGAAAAAGGCTTCCAAAAAATCTTCCAAAGAATGGGCTCGAGTCCACTCAAGATCTGTCTTCCAGCGACACAAACGTAACTAATATTTCCGCGGACTCTCTAGAAACCCCCTTCAGGTTTAGACGGAAAAGGGATAAGTCAAGTAGTCCGGAACCAATGGACTGTGTATCCAATTCTATTATAACAGCCGACGTTACACCTGACAATTACGAAGAGACAAATAACTCGCAAGGCAATAAACTATATAAAATCAAAGCATTAAGAAAGAAATGCCCAGCTTTCGGAGTCAGCCTTCTTAAGAAAGACAACGTTCAAACGCGGTCTAGTAGTTGCGCGAGTAGTGCGAATGTCAAAAAGAAATGATGTCTGTGAATTTATTATAGTTATACTCGCACTTATACTCGAGATTATAATAGATGTTTAGTACAGCGCATAGCGCGAAATTATATCGTGTTGGTGGATTTGTTTAGGCGCTTTCTAATTTTTCATGTGACAGAAATAACTTATTAAACTGTCATCTGCTTAGTGATAATATATTGAAAATGTTAACTGTCTAAGCAAATTTCTCAACATAAAACTGTGTACAGAAATAAATGTTAAGTATAATAAAACATAACCCCACAAAAGACAAGCCTAATCGAGTGTAAAATAACTATTTAACTTTTTTACACACTTCGTTTATTGTTGTGTTTAAATCGATTTTTTGTCTAATACATTGTCTCGACAGTATCATAACAATAAGATAATTTGTCGTTTTTGATGTGTTATAATCGTTTATCTATTATATTAATCTTAATGAAAATTATTTCGAGTTGATTTTTATCAATCTTTTTTTTTTAGTTTTTTGTTTAGTTGATTTTTGTCAATCCAACTGTAGCAAGCTAGCCTTTTTTAACAGTTTTTCTACCGACTTCAAAAAGGAGGGGATACTCAATTCGACTGTCTGTTTTTTTGTGTTACCTCATAATTTTTTTTCTGGGCAACCGATTTCTATGATTCTTTTTTGATTTGAAAGCTGGTTTATTTGGAAGCTTCTCATGTGGTCTCATATAAATTTGATCAAGGTCTGATCAATAGTTTTTGAGTTATTCTTAATAATTTATACTGAAGTAACCGACTTAGGTACAAAATTTTAATTTTAAATTATTTACTTTATAGTAATTTAGTTACGAAGCATGCTGCATAAGTTGCAAACAATCATGTATTATTATCAATTTTACGATTTTTTGTTATTCTGAGACAATGGTATTAGACTGTGTTTAGTCGTGATAGAAATAAAAAGAAAATATTTTTGTAATTTACTAAATAACTATGTGATTATAAAATGCCATGTTTCTTTAGCCTCTTTTGAGCGTCTTGTTATTCACTATACTAATTATCATTTCTTTAATGAATTCGTTGTATATTATTTGCTATGTTGACTTGTAGATAAATATTTGTATTTGTTTATGTGTAGACATATTTTATGATTGATAGCATTATTGTTTTTTTAGAACAGTAGGTGATATATTATAGGCGGATCTAAACGTATTTTTATAGTTTATGTTTAGTTTCATGTACGCTGAGATTTGAAAGATATACAAATATACAGCCTATAAACAGTTTATGGTTGTGTCCAAGTTCTTTTACGTCATTATTGCTGTGTATTTTTTTTTATTTATACAGTAAAATCTGTTTAACTGGGATCTCAAGGGACTTAGAATTTTTTATAACTTTAGAGGCATTTCTTTTACCCAGTTCCAAAATAGGCAGGATAACATGACTGGTGTCTTATTTGTAGAGGGTCCCACAATGAGAGATCGAAATGTACCATATATCATATAAAGAGATGGAAATTTTTATATGATGAATTGTCTCACTTATTATAAGGGTTAGAGCTTGGAGCTACGAAGTCCCAATTAAACATCAAATTGATGAAAGACTATGAATTCTAATCTCAGTTAACAAAGTTTGAAAATTCCCAGTAACAGTGGTATTTCAATTCAAAAGTGTCAGGATCTCATTGTAATTATCAATAACAGAGGTTTCTTACATATTCAGGGTCCACTTAATCAGGTTTCACTGTAGTTTATTGTTCTTACTATTAACCCTTTCGCTGTCCCGTGTATTACATATAGGTCATTGCTATTGTCTTACTATTGTGTTTGAAAACCGGACAGTGAAAGGGTTAAGATAACTAACGTAAAAAAAATTAAGAGTAAACTTTAACATTTATATAGTAAGTGCATCTAAACTCATCTGAAATCTTCTTTAAGCATCTAAAATCATTCGCTCCCAACAACATATTTAAGTCAAAGTACGATACGTTGTACGTACGTATGTAAAGGAAGATGTGCGCGCGTGATTGCGTGGTGAGAAGTGAAGCATTAATTCTGATTGCATTTCATTGTTGGTCTGAGGCAATAAAGAAAACTAATACATATTTTGTTATTATAATATGTACATCATTCTTGCCAGTTTACCTTCTTGCTTAATCAAGTATCTCAGTGTACACGAACTGTGAAATAATTTACCCGTCTCAAGTTTCTGTGCTATAATTTTTGTGTTACAGTTAATGGACTTTAGTCTTTAAAGTGCTTGCAGGTCAGTTGGCTTCCTTATAACTACTCTGTTGTTGTTAGTTGTAATTACTAAGGTCACAAGTACAGTCGAGGTGAAAATGTATTAATATTCATGTTTATATTTTGATAGAATGTAATAGTTTATAGGTTTTCTAATTTCAATTATGAACTCTTGACGTTCATATTTTTACATAAAATATCAATAACACGTCGAAAGGCGTCATTTTATGTTCGATTAAGGAGACCATAAAACAATTTTGAAATATCTGTGTCATATGGTGCTTACATTTATTATGAGTAAAGTATAAAATGATTTTGAAGATTGATATTACTATTACAACCTTTTTTCTCCGACTGTCCGCCAATGTATACTTTTCTTACAATTGTACTATTATATTTCTATAGCATTGTACGAATTTAGAGGATCATATCACATTTGTACGTTTGCATCTAAATTGTTTATCTGTATTTATATACATAATGTATTTATGTACCTTTTGATTCAATTATGTTGTTGAAGAAGACTGTTGTCTATGCCATTTTAAATGTGAAACTGAATGAATCTATTTGTTGTTAGAATTGTAGGTACTTAGAATTGTAACGTAAAGAAATGTAAGATGTACCGAAACATTTTTTATTGTTATCAGTATTATATATTTTGCAGCCAAATGGTTTAGTCAGGGTTATTGAACAGCTGGCCCGTTAGTTAGACGTCAGCTTTTAACTAAATGCTTAGCCTTTTACAGTAGAAGCCGGTTATAACAACGGCCAAGAGACCGGTGATATTACGTCGTACTAACCGGAAGTCGTATTAAACGAATAGACAATTTTTGCTTATTATTAATTACATACATAATGTATTTATTAATATTTAGGTGACTAGCAGATAAAAAAAAAACATTTAAATCAAAATATTTATTTACATCACATATGTCAACATACGTACAAAGTGTACCGGTCAATATAATCTATATAACTAACAACGAAACATCTAGTGCAAAATGTCTGTAATTTTTGGTTGTTTTTGGTTTTTATTTCTATAGTAAGAAGTACGGACTGCATTATGCAAACTAATATCATCTTAAAATTTTGTTCCGCTAGATTCCAACGACCAAAATGTCGCCGGCCAGTCACACAAACACTACACACTCACCTAATGCCACAAACACAGTTAGGACAACAACGGATGGAACGCAGCGAGTCTGCAGACGGGCGCGCCGCACAACCCTCGTGCACCCCGCGTGCACACCGTACACCCGAGAACCCGAATACCTGAACATCGAACGATACGAGTTAGCCGTCAGAGCCGGGGTCCGCTACCCCCTATTCAGACGGCCGTTAACTAACTCATTCATGTTATGTTAATGTGATCACAGAACTGAGTATCGGTTTTATTGTGACGTCGCGTCGCTCCTTCAATTTTATTTAGCTCGAGTCCCCTGTGTCCAATTACTAACAGCATTAACATCACAAAAACTAAACTAGAATGCACAAACACATTTAGTACTTTTGCAGCTTTTGGAGCTTCAGATACATTCGGAGTGGTACAATTTAATTCATACGTTATTATTTCGTCATTATTATCGTCGCTATCTTGACTATTGACGATATCATTTTGTAGAATATCTCTAATTATTGTTCTCATGTAAGTGACGATTGTCTTATTGAGAAATACAGATCTTTAAACTGCGAATATTTTCGTCAGTCGGCTCCTAACACGTTGCGAGATCATAATCAATAGCAAAATATTGTTCTAGTTTTGCATTTCCTTTAAGCAGTCCTTTATTCAGAGCTCTCGCAGACAACAGCACATCATTATCATCATCATCATCATCATCATCATTGTCGACAGAAACACTGGGACTATCTCGGACAAATCTAGCGTGTTCATAACAGTTAAAAATCGTTGCTGACATAAGCTTGTTCCAGACGTCGTAAATCATTACAATGGCATCCAATATTGTGATCTTCAAATGTTTGGCACTGCTGGTGTCTTCATTTGCATCAAAACTGGCGACAATTTTTAAAACCAGGTTTTTATGAAAGTTTGATTTTAACGCTCGAATTATTCCTTAGTCCATGGATTGTAATACAGATGTTATATTAGGAGGCACGAAAATGAGAGTAATGCTTCTCAAGTCGCTAATTGCTGGATGAGCAGGACAATTGTCAACCAAAAGCAGGATCTTTTCTTCTTTTTAGTCAGTTCACGATCCCAGTCGCGTATCCATTTAATTAAAATATTAGATGTCATCCAGGCCTTGCAATCGCTCTCATAATCTACCGGCAGAGATCATAATATTTGAAAAATCTTGGGTTTTTTGACTTGCCGATAATTAAAAAAAATCTTTTTATTGTGCCACTCAGGTTAGCTGCAATAATCACAGTTATTCTGTCTTTCGAAGGTTTTCCTCCTGAACATTTTTTACCTTTAAATTTTAATATTTTATCTGGCCTTAGTTTATAGAATAATCCAGTTTGGTCTGCATTAAATATTTCGTCTTCACTAAATTTTGCTTGCAAATTAGGCCAAACTTTTGTGTGCCACTCGGTCACATCGTTCTGTTCAACCGACAAAGATTCCAGCAAATTTTTCGGCTACAATATATATACTCTTAAAATGGTTAAACCAACTCTCCGAACAATCAGAATTAGGAAAGTTTAGCTCTTTAGCAAAAACATAGCCTTTAGTAAAAAACAATCGCGGGGCGGACATAGCTTTTTTAATATGGACATAGATTTATCTAATATCTGATTGTATCTAAATCTGACTCAGATTTCAAGGAATACTTATCATCACCATATGAATATATGAATACCATAGCTCATATGAATACCAGTGTAAAATAGTAGCTTAACTCTGCTGCTGTTTCGTATGATGAGTGTAGAGAACCGGAGACCCCTTTTAAAGGAAACGAGGTATTGTATTTTAGTCCTCAGGGATGACAGCACTTCTGTATTTTGATTCGTAGTTGAGAATGGATGTAGATGTCTATGGGCCACAGCATCCACTTACCATCAGGTGGACTGTGTGCTCGTTTGTCTTATTGTGTAAATATTTGCTTACTCTATATAAAAAAAAAACACTAATGGAATGAGCTATCGAAAAAAAGGTTGTTGATTTTGGTCTCCGAAGTTGAAAAATGCATTCGTTGATTTGCATTGGTTTCTTCTCAGTGTCGCTTCAAAGTTGATAGCTGGGCAAGTGAGTTTTTTTTTATAGAATTAGTTGCTAGAAGTGGTTGCTATGACCCATAGACATCGATATACATCTATACAAATAAATAAAATTGAAGTGTCTGTTTCTAATGTCAAAATACCAGCTTTTTTTTTTTAGAAGAGGGGGCAAACGAGCATGCGGCTCACCTGATGGTAAGTGACTACCGCCGCCCATGAACAACTGCAACACCAGGGGAATTGCAGATGCAATTACTAAATGCATATGAAATTATAAGTACCATAACAAAAACACGATTTTTAAAATTTTTGTCTGTCTGTCCGTCTGTCTGTCTGTTTGTTCCGGCTAATCTCCGAAACAGCTGGACCGATTTCGACGGGACTCACTGGCAGATAGCTGATGTTATAAGGAGTAACTTGACTAGTTATATTTTTAAAAAAGAATTAGGGTTCCGCGCAACTTAATTAAAACCTTAAATTACACGCGGGCGAAGTCGCGGGGAACAGCTAGTCCCCAATAAAGAATCAAAATACAGATGCGTTATCACCCGTGAGGACTAAGATGGGAGGCCTCTTTTCCAGTAAAAGGGGTCTTCGGTTCTCTACACTCACCATACGAAACACAGCAGCGTTAAGCTGCTATTTTACGCTGGTATTCTGTGAGAGCGTGGTCCTTCCCCAGTCGAGCTGACCCATTCGTGCTACAACTATACCAGTAATATAGCTGCAGCATGGCTCTACCACGTAAAAAAACTAGTTTTCTACTTTTTTCTTCTTCTATTTTTAAAAACGCTACCACCACACTAGGATTTTCTCCTGTATCGTGGAGGCAGTTTACAAACACAAATTGCACAAGGACAAACATCCAGAACCGGAACAATTATTTGTAGGCCATACAAATACTTGTTCCGTGCGGGATTCGAACCCGCGGCCCTCAGCGCAGCAGCACATCGCTAAGCCACAGCGCCACGTAGCTGTCAAACTGCTTTGACTGAAGTACTATTCCAGCTTCGATATTAAGTTTCTTCTTCTTGCTCGTTGGAGAATTATGTCCTCCAACCATTACTTACTTTAAACAAAATGTGAAATTAAAATGGTGTCAGTAGTCTCATTTGTTGTCTTGTGTCTATTACTTGGCGGTCGGCTTTCGGAAGCCATACTTAATTTCTTCCATTCCATTTATTATGAATTTTATCCTTAATTTATTTTATAAAGATTCGAATTTTTCGGAACTGTGGGCAGTCTTTGACCATTACTTGTCGTGAAGGTTTGCTCGTCAATGGAAGCTGAAAGAAATTGATACTATCGGTTCAGACAGTTGCGTTTAATTTGAATGCAAAGCTATGAAATCAATGTTATTTTATCCACAAATCGTCCACATTACAATTTTTATAAAAATCTATTCGTCTTCTTTTTTTAAATTAAAGAAACAAAATTTGAAAAAAAAAACTTTTTTCAAAGATACAGCTGTCGGAACCATCTCGACTTAGTTCGAGCGTATCAAACATGAGGGGGACCACCTTTCAGACAAGTATATCATACTCGTAACTATTCGGACTTGTAATTTATATAATTATTATGGAGTGATGTTGCACCTACCACAGCTTCTCAAATCATCCAGGGTTGACTGGTAGAGAATGCCACAAGGCATTAAGACCGCCCTTTATATCCCTTATTATAAGGTAAATGTAAAAAAAAAAAAAAAAAAAAATAAGGTAGAGAAGATGTTTACATATCCTATAGCAGCGTATAACTTCCGAGCCCTTTGAATTCTTTTTTGTAATTTGTCGTTTATTGCAGTCCTAGTCTTTTTTTATATTAGTGCATAATTTGCGACATCTCTTGTAACGTTATTATTGGATCTCGCGGGTAGTTATTAGTAAATTCTTTCACTTCTCAGCCGTTGCTGTCCAAGTAGCTTTTGACTATTATTCTCTAAATAAAAGTTAAAAAAAGTTAAAGTTACAGCCTAAATACGTACCCTTCTCTCATTTCTGAGGGGGTTTTAGGGCAAGGAAATAAATAAAGTTTGATTTTTTATTTTTCCCTACATCATTACACACATATTTGATAATCATAAAATCAATATCTTTCACTAAACAGATATCCTTTCCTATCAAAATATACAATTTGTTTAAAAAGCAATCACAAACGGCACTTCACCACGTGCATGAATTTCGACAACATTCATAGCAAAATATTTGAACCAAATGGCGTTGTTTAAATCAGATGTCACACCATATAGGCTTAGAGTAACCTAATAACCTCATGGTTAAGGACCTCACAGCTAGATACTGTTTTTTTATGACCACATAATATCGACCGCCCAAGAACCATTTGACTTTAGTTGTCCTTTAAGAATTATAGTTTGCTTCTACAATACGAACTATCCAATGTAATTAAATATTAAACAATTTTTTATTGTAATTTTTACTAAAGACAACACTCAAAAGTTGTTGTAACATCTTATTATCAAATATCTAAACACATTTGTTAAACGTTAGCGATTTGGCGATTTTTATTTTAACATTCAATTGAATTCCAGCGTTTAACTAAATAGCTTGCCGTCCATTTAACCGGCTGATAACCAGTCTGTTTAACTGAACAATTTGAAGAAAAAAGTATGTACTCTAAAATCACTAGTGTGATCTTGGAGTACATATCGTGGTACACATTACATATTATGTTTACGGCGTAGTATTAATAAAAACGTTGCAATTATAAGTACAGTTGTGTTAAGTTATAAAATTCATTAAAGTACTGTGGACTCAAATTGTTGAAAAATAATTCGATACTTACTGTCGAATACAAACAAAAGGGCATACATTAGATAGCATTATAAATTGTTTTTTTTTTTTTGCAGTATTCAGCTTAATCGGTTCGGTTTAATTTGACTGACTTAGTATGGGAATATACCTTCTTGCATGTCGATTAACAGTCCTTTTGATTGTGTTCCCCCCAAGCCGCTAGTATGTTATAACAAATAGCTATGGCAGCTCGTCAGAGTGAAAATGTGTTTATGATTTATTAGTAGTATAGATACTTTTACTGTTATCTATTCTGTGGTATATATTCATGAACTAAGGTTGGAGAGTATAAAGATGGCCATTACGTACATTTTACCAAGAAAAATTGCAATGTTCTTGACACATATGAATTTAAAAAATTTCATTGAATGCTATTAGCCCATTTAGAAGAACGTAGACATTTACACGTGGTGGTCCCACGCTGCATTATGTTTTTAGGACAAATTGGTCGGCTCGGCCGGAGAAGGACCACGTTCTCACAGAATACCAGTGTAAAATAGCAGCTTAACGCTGCTGTTTCTTAAAGTGAGTGTAGAGAACCGGAGACCCTTTTCGCTGGAAATGAGGCATTCCATCTTGGTCCTTAAGGAGGACTACGTATCTGCATTTTGATTCTTAATCGAGGATAAATGTAGATGTCACAGCATTCTCTCACCATGGACTGTGTGCTCGTTTTTCACCCTTATTCTATAAACAACAACTTTGAATCCTAGTGCTTTCTCTGTACTGGTTTCTGATTTTCCAGTGTTAATGTAGAACTCATAAGTACCCAGTATTATTCTCAGCCGCACCATTCCCTGTAGCCTCTTTTTGTGGGCTTAAGGAATATAATATATTATTTCATCGACAACCTGTCTTTGAATATAATGAATGATTCTTCACTACTTTGGGTCGAGAAATTTTGGCATTCTGAATTGCAAAGTAGATAGATAATATATATATTTTTTATAGAAATGTGGTGACAAACGAGCACACAATCCACCTCATGGTAAGTTGTTGCTGAGACCCATATACATCTATCCTCGTCTCCGAATCAAAATGCAGATGCGTTGTCAGCCTTGAGGACTAAGATGGAATGCCTCTTTTCCAGTAAAAAGGGTCTCCGGTTCGCTACACTCACCATACGAAATACAGCAGCATTAAGCTGCTATTTTACGCTGGTTATGTGAGAGCGTGGTCCTTCCACGGTCGAGCCGACCCATTCGTGCTACAACTATACAATAAACATAGCTGCAGCTTGGCTTTACCTCGTAAAAAAATAACCAATAACGGGCGTAATTTAGAAAGTTTGTCACAATGCTCGCTAGCCTTCTCTTGTTGTGCATTATCATTCAGATGAAAATTTCGCAATATTTGTTGTTATCCTGATTATAAGTTTATTAAATTGTTAATTTAATGCTGGGTGCTTATTATACTTAAACCTTATTTAATAACTATAATAAAAAATATATAAAAATCTCTAAAAAGGTTCTCCATTCGACTGTATTTTTTATTTTTTATGTGTGTTGCCTTAGAATTTTTTCTAGATCAACCAATTTTGATGATGAAGCTGGTGCTTCTCAAGTGGTCCCATATAAATTTGATCAAGATTTGACCAGTAGTTTTTAAATCATCCTTAATAATGCGTATTTAATTTACTTCGACTACATTGATGATATTGTATTTTTTTTTAATTTTACCACTTGTTTAAAATTTTATTTAGTCCATGCCTCATCTTCCATTTGGCCTATGAGTTTGATATATTATCAAATCATAGCCTTTGCTGCTAAACATGTTTTAGGTACTTACCAACGGAATTTTATCGTAAACGTTGGCCAATAGGTTGTCCATATAGTTTTTCCACATTTCCTCTTCGCCGTCCGAATCTGAGAAAGTATTTGCTACTGTGATTGTGGCCATGCCAAACGTACTCACCTGAAGAACTAAGTAAATTTTAAACTCTAGTCCCAAGGGTTCCGCTAACGGCACGAGTGATGGTCTAGGTTGGTTTTCAACAGGCGTAAGACGCTGAATTTCAAAAGGTGCTAGATTGTTACGATCGACCTAACGTGTGAGTACTAGAGGTCCATCATTAGGCTCATCCAAGTTCTCTAAATTCTTTTGAAGTTTTGCGAAACTGTTACAGTCGGACTCAAATTAACATCTGACCCTTCGGGGCTATCATGTAGGCCAAAAACTCTTCTAATTTTCTGTTTCTTTCCAAAACATTCAGCAAGTTTTACTCAAACAATAAAAGCATACATCTAAAGCGTCACAGGCAAAGGGAATATATTTTGATTTATGGCATTAATTCTTCTTAACGCTGCATCTTAGAGAAGTGACTTCAGAATTAATCAAATTATTAAATGTTAAGCCGTAATAAAATTTGGTTAGCCACAAAACAAACAGCATTTAAGTCAATTGGTTAGCATTCATAGATTGTGTTTGCAATAAAAATAAAATTCAGCAAATTGTTTCGCAAATAATCTTGATAATGTTCAGTAATTTAATCATAAATAGTCAGCTTATACTGTCGCTGATATTACTTGATACGTATTTCCGTATTTTTAGAAATTTAACAGTACTTACACCTAAATTTAACCATCTACTGCTGGCCGCTATTAGTGCTATTTTTATATGCTGGACAAAATTAGATTAGTTGCTTACCTTCTAAGTGCTTATCAAAATTTTATAAACGTGAGTCACTCGTTGCAGCTTATAAAATTAATATGCTGTAATAAAAAATTTACAGCCGTCCAGAATGTCAAAAATTGTCGATTGATTTAATAATGTTTGCTAGCCATGGTTTGCTGACCAATTATTTATTTCCGCTGCTAGATTACATTTATCTGCTGACGAAAACATGTACTAACCTATAAATAATGCACTAAATTTTTTATTATTTCTTCGAAGTCTGCTTTTACTACTTCATAAAATAACTTCTCGACATACATACTTTTGCTGGCAGTACAAAGACTTATCGTCCACGCATAGTATTGTCTATTGAATCAGTTTTTATCAGACTCAAAAAAGGAGGAGGTACGCAATTCAACTGTGTGATTATTTGTTTGTATGTAGGTATGTTACGCGATATCTTCCTTAATTGTTAAATGGTTTTAATGATTCTTATTTTATAAAATAGGTCATACTTTAGGAATGGTCACATAAAAATTTGAAGAAAGAATTCAGAATGGGAAAATAGAGGATAAAGTTTTTAATATGACATGATGGACATGCTAGTTGTTACATTGAGCCTGTGTATTCCGTAATCCGTTCAAAAGATTAAAAATAACTGTTTATAAAAAGTAAAAGCAGACTATACAGCCAAAAGGAATAAAATCATAACATACTATGTCTTTGTTTAGCACCGACTTCTAAAGGTGTTAGGTGAAAATTATTTTATTTTTTTAGTTCTCTTAAGAAGGCCTTTATTTAGAGAACCTTTTAAGAGATTTTAGAAGATATGAACTTTTTGTGTATAGTTATCTGTAAAATTGACTGTTAATGCACTCATGAGAAGCTCTAAACCTTATTATACATTGATACCCTCCTGCATAAATGGTTTAAATATTTTTATGAAATTAAAAAAAAAATAAGAGCATTGCCGATTTTTCTTTTATCTTGTATCGACAAAGTTAACCCTTTCGCTGTTCCGTGTACTACAAATAAGTCATTGCTATTGTCTTACTATAGTGTCTGAAAACCGGGCAATGAAAGTGTTGATAGCCATCAAAACAATAATTTACGTATAAACTTAAAATCTATCAAACAAGTATTTAAAAGATTTCTACGCTATTGTTTAAATTGTTATAGTTTCAAAGTATTTTTTTTTTATTTAAAATTTCATTAATATGAATTAAATTTTATATTGCTTAGTAATTATTAATAAAGAGCCATTATTTTTTAAGGTTTAAATGTTGTTTTTGGTATGTTAAGGATTGTAAAGGATTAGGGGACCAGAGCATTAAGAAAGTTCGTGATTGTTGTTTCGCTACATTGTGTAGAAATAAATTTTGAATTTATATTTCATTAATTATAATTATTTTGTGATCCGGATAGCTAATTGTTTACTAATTATAACATGCACTATTACAATATAAGTATTTGTAAATAACCATCGTGGCATCGAACAGCGGCGTACAGAGAAACACTTGTGCTTGATACAAATAAAAAAAATATATTATTCCAACGTGAGTTAACTGTTTTATTTTCAAATCATAATTTTAATGTTTAGCCGTTTTTATTACGACTACATAAAAATGCGGGTAAGTAAGAGAACACTTTCTACGTAATAACATACAAAACAACATAATACTTTTATATAAATTTATTCCAACATTACAATAAATAAGTAGCACTTTAAAATGCGTTTTTTTTTTTACTATAACGAAGTTTTATTTTACAAAACCTTACTTTTTAAAATATTCTAATCATTTATTATTTGTTTGATTGTAAGAAAAATTTGTCGTACGTTGCTATAGTCATAGTTGAGTTTTGATGATGAGATTGAAGATATGTAAAAAAGAAGTCATAATAATTCATTAAAAATGAGCGGTTGCCGACGATTGCTTAGACCAGATTTCTAAAATTTTTATACAACCCCAATACTAGAACATGACACCATACATAAATTACATGACACATGAGGAGGAAGGAAACTTAGATTAATAGGGGGCAAGATAGAACTCACAGGTTTTGTAACCTACCATTTGAAAAACCGAAATTATTCACTTTACGCGACAACTATAATTGTCTCACTGTTCCAGGATATGACTTAATAGAAAAGGCATGGATTGAAATAAGAAATAAATTTGGTTTCACCTTGTAATGAGAATTAAATAATAAAGGATATTTTAATCTTACTAAATCAATTGACAATGTATTAACTCTGCTTCGCATCGTTTTTTCTGCATCGTTTGTGAAAACCAGCTACAGTAGCTTACTAGTAGGCGAGCTACGGATTACAGCGCGATGCAAATAGTAATTTGTAAATATCCTCATGTCAGAAAAGGATATAATAAGGAATAGTTAAAGTTTAGGTACATTCAAATAAAGCTTTAATAAAATTTCACACAAAAATGTGACATATACTACTTCTTAACTCCTAGAACTCGTACTCGGATACTATAACAACAAGCCTTGCGACTGCACTGCCGGCGAACTGGCTGCGTTGATACAGAGACATCGTCAACTCCAACTCGGCGACTTGAGGTCCCTCCAGTGAACAGAGAAGGGACACCACGCAAACGTTGGCGCTTGGTCGCATGCTGAGGGAAAATATGGTCAGTAAACACATTTTGCACTGACTTTCATTTACTCATAGCCGCCACTATTCCACTGCAAAAACAGCGTTATCTAAAGAATGTCCCAAAGCATAGCGCTAGTCCGCCTAAATCTAACGACTCCCTACATACTTTATCTCTTTCTCCCTTTTTGTTTTTCTCTACATATTTCTATCTTTCGCGTGTCGTTATTTCATTCAATGGAGTTAGGCACACACAACGCATGCAAAGGCTGCTACAAAAGAACCTTTCTTTCCCAACGGCTGCCAGTTCTTCGTAGTCTAAAATATGGCCGGCCGAATGGGTCTGTTGACATACGATCGTTGGTTTATTATTCTGGTTCAGCAGGTGTCTTCGTTATATATTCCACATCGCAAAAAAAATACAATTTATATTTAAATTAATAATTTATGTGCTACTGGCCACCGATAAAACTTTTTGAAAAATATTAATAGTTTTCAACTGGAAAGAATTTAGAGTACCTTCTCATATGGCGTATTATTGCGACCTTTTCCAAATTTGGGGGCTTGCTATAATCTCTACTCTGAGTAAAAGATTGACGAAAGTAGTGCCAAATACCTTGATTCTTTGGGCTTAAACTTTTTTTTCTTTGTCTACAACTTGGAATTTGTATGTTTTGAAGGAAGGAGGACTTGAACCAGCTTTTTCTACAAATACCACTAATCTCTAGACACTAAATTAGCCCCAATAACATCAAATCTACCCAAAGAGATTACTTAATCCCCATCGCACAGACAGTGAAGGCTAACAGTAATAAATAATAGACTTTTGTGTTCATCTCGCCTGTCCAACGAGTGGGGCAACGGGAAAATCTCCAAGACACAGGTACGGTCACTTGGTCCAATATTGTGGACTTTTTTGGTCCGATGAAGAAAATGAAAATTCAAATTATGCCTAAGAGGATAAAAAATAAATTCTGAGATAGCGTTCCGACTCCTGCTGCAACTACGGAACCAAACGGCGCCATGGCTTCTCTATCTAGCCTCTCTTCTTTTAGATTATAACGCAACAACATGTGGACAATAATGAATTGAACTTACTCAAAGCATGAAAGATCGGCGGGTTTAACGCCGCTTGGTGCTTTCACGTCGACCATTCGCATCTCGAAGTTCACCACGGAGTCCCGCCATGACGGACCGTGCATTGTGAACAGGTCCACCTAAATTTTATTATAACTTTAGACTTACAGTATCTGAGTGCCAAATGACCATACATTCTACCTCATGGTAAATTAAGGGTTAATTAGTCGTAGTCCATGTTTACCCCGAACCCTCTTCAAACAAGCCGCTAACTTTCTGACTCCGGCTTGCTACTGGGAATTTTTTAACTTTGCTGTTGTCCTAATTAATGATTTTGGCCCGATCTTCGAACCTTACGACCACGACCAACGATATATTATAAAATATATTATATTTAATAATAATATATAATTTGCATTTGATACAAAACTTATATAATTCAGGTCACTGTAGTGGGATTCTCTGTTTTTTGATGATAATTTTCTTGTAATAAATATTAATCTGATCCGATCACAATTTAGTTGGTTACTTTGTGTTAATAGTCATATTAATAAAGTAAGAGTAAAGTAAAATAAAATGTTACTTACACTTCCAGTAGGAAGGTAGATGTTGGCAACAAAGGTGATGAAGTTGTAGCTGAGGGCGCTCGGCTGTTGGATACAATTCCAGTCCGATATTGGGCATGAGCGTTGAATTCGCGTGCATTTGCTTGAAGATGAAATGAGAAAAAAAACTAAAGAAAAGGTTGATTCGTAACCTAAGTATCGTCTTGTAATTTTACTTTATTTTCGGTCTTTTTAATCCATTGCAAAATATTAGCCTCAAGAATGCGCCATGTCTACGAATAGATAACCTTTATTTTTTATAACATTAAAACAGTAAGTACCTAAACTAATATTCTAGTAGTAATAGAGGTAGGAGCCATAGCTCCGGAAGGCGAATTTTACTGAGAGGTAAGAAAGTCAGGCCTATCTCCCGCTTTATTTCTAAAATTTGAAAATTACCTGGCGACACTGTCTTATCGTCCTGCATGTCTGAGAAATAAGAAATAAAAGTATTTCGCAGACATATGAAGTTCGTCAATACGCATTGGGGCAGCGCGGCGGACACTTCATTGCCCTAAAACGCTCTCAGAAATGAGAGGAGGCCGTGCCCAGCAGTGGGACATATATATGCTGTAACTTTAACTATCGTATTACAAGTTCAGAAAACCAGGTTTATTATAGCCTACTTTAAATTGTTTAATTTACTGTTGTTATCACTGATATACTCAGGCCAATTTCGTTTACCTCGCATATACATATGGGTAAAACGGGGTTTGAGCAACACCTGAAGATTGTTGAATACGCAGGTAGAGTAGACCAGGTATTCAACAAATCCGCGTATGAAGCGAGTGATACACCCTTGAATGGCCGTGCTTTCCTTCCTTTCTCCATAGTAGGGGCACGTTTCTAAGACGAATATTAATGACGCACACAAATTGATTTTCATATAAATATACTTGACATGCTTTATTTAAAATTAAGGTGCTTTGGGGTAAATCCGACATATTTTCTAACTAGCTGTTCCCCGCGACTTCACCCGCGTGTAATTAAGGGTTTTAATTATGTTGCGCGGAACCCTAATTCTTTTTCTAAAATATAAGTGGCCTAAGTTACTCCTAATAATATCAGCTATCTGCCAGTGAAAGTCCCATCGAAATCGGTCCAGCCGTTTCGGAGATTAGCCCGAACAAACATACAGACAGACAGACCGACAGACAGACAAAAATTTTTAAAATTGTGTTTTCGTTATAAGTACCGTATATACATTCAATATGCATTTAGTAAAAAGCTGTTATTTTAATATTACAAACAGACACTTCAATTTTATTTATTTGTATAGATTAGTTGATACGATGTATATTTAATAATTATTTTAAAAAAATCTATCCAAGTTTACAATCAACTCATGTCACTTTTATTTATTAAAATTCATATCCTAATTATTTTGTTATTCATCTTAATAAAATATCTTTGCGTTGCGTAAATACGATCATTTAAAATTTGACATATTTTTCTTCCGGATAAGGTGTAATTCCGATATACCGCGGGGTAAAACCGAAAATCCGATAAAGTGTTCCTTTTTAGCTTTCGACAGAAGATTTAGATTTACTTTTCGTTCATCTATACCCCTTTACAAAAAGCATTGATACATACTTTATGTTTCTAATTTGCTCACTTGAATTTTCGAAATTACCCCACATTTTATACGTGGTAGAGCCATGCTGCAGCTATATTAGTAGTATAGCACGAATGGGTCGGCTCGACCGGGGAAGGACCACGCTCTCACAGAATACCAGCGTCAAATAGCAGTTTAACACTGCTGTGTTTCGTATGGTGAGTGTAGAGAACCGGAGACCCTTTTTACTGGAAAAAAGGAATTTCATCTTGGTCCTCACGGCTGGCAGCGCATCTGCATTTTGATTCGCAAGCTAGGATAAATGTAGATGTCTATGGGCTATAGCAGCCACTTGCCATCGGGTGGACTATGTGCTCGTTTGTCACCATATCCTATAAAAAAAAACATAAAGCCCAGTGGCTCTAAACATTTAAGGCACCACCACGGCAGGGCACCTTGCGTTTCCGTAGTTGGACAGTATTTAGGTAATTAGGTTTCGTCAAACTTTAAAAAAAAATTGTTTATACTTTATTATTTTTCTTTATGCATTTTTAATGGGCCAAAAGTATCCGAAATTGGGATTTTTCAAGCCTTTAACAATTAACAGCTTTGAAGATATTAAATTTATCGTAAAAAGTCACGGGACTTTTTTTATTCGTATTTTATCAAAGAATATAAAATATAGTCCCGTTTGAAAATAACAATTCAAGTTTAAACAATACCTATGGCACCGAGTTGCCCCATGGCAACATGCAATTATGTCATCATTAGGACAATTTGAAGAGAATCGCATAAAAAAATTGATGTGGAATAGTTTTCGGTACTCATGCGCCTATTTCTCCTGCATGTCTATATATTTGGTATTGCGGTAGGTACGCCTTGCCCACTCTCGTTGTTTATTTTTTTATAGAAGAGGGGGCAAACGAGCTTGCGGCTCACCTGATGGTAAGTGACTACCGCCGCCCATGAACATCTGCAACACCAGGGGAACCAGGGGAAATGTAGACGTGTTGCCGGCCTTTTAAAAAGGAGTAGTAATAGTAGTACTAGTAATTCGCGAGTGTTAAACTCATCCAAAATAACAATTTATGCTGACGAAAGATTGACAGCCACTGGTAACTACAATGGAAAAGTAGTTCGATAGTCCATTAATTCGTAATTAACCTTGTGGAGTATTTCCGAAAAAAAAAACAATAGCTGGCTAATCCTAACCTATAAAATAAAGCTTTAAAAACATTGAGTTATATGTACTACATACTAGAGAAGCCATTCCAAACAAAAATTGTGCGCTACTCTATGTCTTCGCGCATGCGCGGGATATATTTTAATTTAATATAAAATAAGATATTAATATAAAATTAATATAAGAATATAATATAAAATACTCTTATTTTAATCTAAACAAACATATTTCTAAATAAAATGTAATACAAATTATCTTATAGAATTCACAAATCTTCAATTTACGCAATATTTAGTTTAGTGTACGGATTGCAGTACAGTTCAGTTGAACATAGTCAATGTTCGGAATGCGAAATCTAGTGCGTAGTACATATATATCGATGTTTAAAAACGATTATCTATCATAAAATCAATCAATCATTAAGTTTACTTAGCAAGTTCCTAAGATAATGAACGCGGAAAATTCCGAAAAACCGAAAAGTGTTGAAAAAAGCTGTTTCCACCGAAAAGTTAACTTTGCACGCGCACTATTGAGTCTAGCTACCTGAATCCTCGCTTCAGAGGGACACAAATAAAATGTCGTCTAGAATAATGTTACCAGAGCAAAAAATATTGCCTAGTTAAGTCGTAATCCCAAAGCACCTTAGTAAGTTTTTATCCACCTATAAGAGGAATGCACTATTTCAAATTAATTATAATAATGTCCTCCAGACTGAATGTCGGTCACAGCGGCCAGACTCAACGGAGATTAGCCATTGGCGCAGGACAAGATGAGAGTGTCCAAATGTATGCGCAAGCACAGTAGATGCACTCTTTACTCCTTCATTTTCATAGTCCGATGGAACGGTAAACCGACACGACCAAAGAGAGATCAGGCGCAGGACCAACGGCTTTACATGCTTTCCGAGGCAGGGGGGGTGAGACACCGCCAACTTCCTGACTCCGAGCAGCTACTGAGAATTTCTTGACGGAATATCACAGATTTGTTTGACCTGACTCGGGATTCGAACCCGGGACCTCATGATCAGCAGTCGCGTTTACAACCACTAGACCAACGAGGCAGTTTTAAATTAGTATAGGTATTGGTATTGCTACTTAGCTCAGCAGCAGAAATAGATAAAACAATAGTAGCACCCAGACGGAATACGTGAGTCCTACTAGATGGAGATTTAACACCATCAGCTGGATATTAATAAAATGTTCTGGTGATAAGGAAGCATACTTACTGTTTGGACTCTAGACGGTAACCAGGAGGACAGTCAATTCGGTGACAATGGTAGCCTCCTCGAGTATTCTGGCAAACGAGCCCTGCGTCCGATGCTCCAGCGCAATGCGCTTCGCCTGTCTCACACTCGTCAATGTCTAAAATATAAATAAATAATAACAATTTTATTACACTGCTGCAAGAACATTTATTAATAAAGTAATTTTTTTGCAACATACAGGCTTTGTAATATCTGATATCTATATTTGTTCCGGTTTAAGGATGAATGAAAATCGTATGAGGAGGCTTATGTATACATCGAACGATGTGTATAAAGTATAGACTATCTAATAAAACATGGAGGAAGAAGTTGTAAGAGCAGGACTGCGTTTTGTGCCATTCCTATGTTCAGCGGTGTACTTGTAAAGGGGTTGTAATGGTGATGATCGGTAGGAAGTAAAAAGTTCAATTGTTTAAAAAGCGTTAAAGTGTGTTTGAACTTATATTATTTGTCGTCGGTGAGTCGGTTGCCGGGCGGGCAGGCGCAGCGGTATGAGCCGGGCACGTCAACGCAGCGCGCGCTGTGTGTGCGGGTGTACCTGTGCAGGCGCGCCCATCGTCGGCGAGTCGGTAGCCGGGCGGGCAGGCGCAGCGGTAGGAACCGGGCACGTTAACGCAGCGCGCGCTGTGTGTGCGGGTGTACCTGTGCAGGCGCGCCCATCGTCGGCGAGTCGGTAGCCGGGCGGGCAGGCGCAGCGGTAGGAGCCGGGCACGTTACCGCAGCGCGCGCTGTGTGTGCGGGTGTACCTGTGCAGGCGCGCCCATCGTCGGCGAGCCGGTAGCCGGGCGGGCAGGCGCAGCGGTAGGAGCCGGGCACGTTACCGCAGCGCGCGCTGTGTGTGCGGGTGTACCTGTGCAGGCGCGCCCGTCGTCGGCGAGCCGGTAGCCGGGCGGGCAGGCGCAGCGGTAGGAGCCGGGCACGTTGACGCAGCTCCCGCCGCACAGACGCCCGCGTGCGCGCACCGCACCCCACTCCGCGCATTCGTCCACATCCACGCAGGTCCTGTACGTTATCGTTTGATCTCATGATTTCCTTTCCATTTTTGCCGTAATATAAAGAAAACACACACGCAGGATTTTTTGAACAAAATGCTTTAACTAATAAAATGAAAGTGTTTTAATCACATTCATGACTATGAGATAACATCCCTTTGCCTTCAATATGTTTCTCAGAACAGAAAATAGCGTTGTTTCCATACAATGGGTCAAATTTCGACCACAGGCGATACACATTCTAGTTATAATAACACTAGCATTGTAATATAAACGTAATATTGATCAAATCATTGCGACAAAGTTAATAAAACAATAGTTGCACAAGTTACATGTTATATAATATGACAGTTATATTTTTAGTTAAACGGCTTTGGAGTATTGGCGGGAACTTGACCAGCGGAGGATTGCTACTCCTGTATTATTGTTTAAATAATGGTTTGAAGTAGATTTTGATATGTAAAAGTGGTGTGATTTTGTGTATTAACTGTCTGCGCATGTGAACTATTACTGAAAACGGTGAAACAAGTGCTCCGATGGTGATGTGAATGGAACTGTCTGCTGGCTCAAGTTGCGTCAAAATCTCCGAAAAACTACGCGATCAATCAAGAGTTGATGTGACGCATCAACATATTGAACATATTGAGAAGCAGTATACTATAAAGGACTATTATCATTTGATACTGAAAATCTATAAAAACGAAGATGAAATAAAAACATGGCTTAAAGGACAAGCACCCAAGCCAAAAATCTTAATAAAAAAATTAAACGGCTTTTTTTTATAGAATAAGTTTGACAAACGAGCACACAGTCCACCTGATGGTAAGTGATTGCTGTGGCCCATAGACATCTACATCTATCTTCGTTTGCCAATCAAAATGCAGATGCGTTGTCACCCGTGAGGACTAAGACGGAATGCCTCTTTTCCAGTAAATTGCGTCTCCGGTTCTCTACACTCACCATACGAAACACAGCAGCATTAAGCTGCTATTTTACGCTGGTATTCTGTGAGAGCGTGGTCCTTCCCCGGTCGAGCCGACCCATTCGTGCTACAACTATACTATTAATATAGCTGCAGTATGGCTCTACCACGTGAGTCTTGGTAGCGCAGTGGCTAAATGTGCTGTGGCAGTGGGAATTTCCCTTTGAATGCCTTGGAATGCCACCTTTAAAATCTTCCCCCTCTATGAGGCAATTTATGGAGAAAGACCGTGTTTCTCCATAAATTGCCTGGCCTGAGGACTTTTGATGGGCTGTAATGAATGAATGAAAATGAACAAATGAAAGTGGCGACCTGTTGTCGGCGTGCAGCCGGTAGCCGCGCTCGCAGTAGCAACGGTAGCCGCCCCACGCGTTGGCGCAGCCGTGCTGGCACACGTGAGGCGTCTCTGCGCACTCGTCCACGTCCACGCACACCTTTACAAATACCATTTTCTTTGTTTACTTTAGCTTTGTTTTAAGGTTCATGATATTACTAATACTAAAAAGTTTGTGTCTGGTTCAAGCGGAAAAACGGGCAGTGACATTTACGCCAGCTACAAGGGTAACCAAACCAACTTTTTTTGGTGTGGTTCTTCAAAATTCAAAGTCTATATAAAAATGGTTCGCTATTGTCTCTCCTTGATAAAAAATTAGCTTCTTAAATTTTCGCATACACTTAAAATAATTAAATAAAATGAAATGCGTACTTTACCGGTTTTTATTTTAACGAAGTAGATGTTTAAAATTTTCATCACAAAGAGACAATTATTTGTCGTTGTGATTCCATTGCCAAACTGCAAACTTATTCGCTAACTTTGTTGACATCAAAATGATGGTAACTTTGTCGTACATTGCTTCGCATGCTTAATGAGTGATGGAAGCCATCGTATTACATGCAATTACATCTTATATATAAAAATGAAGTATCACATTGTTTGTCCGAGATGAACTTCTAAACTACTGAATTGATTTCAATGAAATTTTACACACTGTGTGCAGTTTGGTTCAACTTGAAAGATAGGACAATTTTTATTCCGACAAGTGTCCCTTAGTATTTTTATTGCGTATTTAAAGATTTTTATAAGAAAGGAAAGGGTAGAACAACGTTTGCCTGGCCAACTAGTATTATATAAAATATATACATATACCTTGTCGTTGGACGGTGCGTTACGAAAGCCTTCCCCGCAGTCGCAGCGATACGATCCCACTGTGTTGATACATTGAGCGTTGTATGAACACGGCTGCGAAGGAAATTTACTCTTTACACACACATAAATCACTTCATTTATTTATATTTCAAATGTTTAATTATTTAAATTCTATCAGACAAATGTAACAAATCTTTAAGCAACAAAATCTTAAGTAAATGGTAACTTCATTTGCATGCAGTGTGATAAATAGCAGACGAAGCTCTTGTGACCGACAAATGGCGATTTATCCATGCGAAAACATTGTTTTTATAAAATAAGGGTGACAAACGAGCACATAGTCCACTTGATGGTATGTGGATGCCGTGGCCCATAGACATCAACATCTACACTCGATTAAATATCAAAATGCCAATTCGTTGTCCTCCCTGAGGACTAAGGCTGAGATCTATAGATCGTACTTTGACTTTGCTGAGACTTAGCTTAGGAAAAACTTAGCTGAGTATGCTTAGCATAATTTTTCGTTCTGAATTTATAGTTGTATCGGGCTAAGATTAAGCTAAGCTTAATATGCTAAGCTTAATATTTGGACTGTCTACCAAATATTAATGGATGCTACCTAGCACCGGCTGGCACGCGGCTCGCGGGCGCCTCCCCGCACGCGCCGAGCGCGTGGGAGATCGGGTATTTTTTGTCTTCAAGCGGCGGCCGGGCATTGCATTGCTGTGAGTCGAATCGAGCCGCGTGGTTACCTCTGATAGTGTCGATTTTGTTAGCAAATGTATGCAACGACGAGGAATTGTGTAGTCTAGAACATTAGACGCCGGGTTGGCCAATTGTTGAGAAGTTAATGTTTAATTGTACCGTTGCGTTAAGTGCCTTAAAAGGTCGCGTTCGGTTTTCTAAATAATTTGTTGCGGAGTGAACGGAAGTGAACTTTGACCCACCGGTCATCAGTCGTGCCGCGTGTTAGTTGCGTCTTGAAGTTAATTAAATGTACAATAAAGTTGATAGGCTGACATAGTGAATTGAAAAAAGAAATTGTCCATTGCTGCCGCCGCTAGAGAATACTACGCCGGGGGGCGGTGCCGGAGTCAGGGTTGCTGCTGATTAAAAGGGCTAATTCAGGTTACACATATATACACTTCTCACACAGTACTTACATTCACGACAATTAACGACGAACGAGCCCTGTGAGCCTTCTTTGCCTCTGAACAGGTACGTACCATTTATTTACCTTGCCTTCTCCCTATTGTGTAGTATGATAGGACATTTTCCATAAGGCATTTTGAGCCCCACACTTAGTTGTCCGTCGAACCTAACAGATGTATGGACCCCTGTATGGTAGACCTTAGTCTGGGCAACTAGGTGCGTGAACATAGTTGGTAGCAAGAGCATGGTTGATTGGGTCTCTAATCGCCCGGCCGTAATATAGATAAAAATAGTACGTAATAAAAATTACATATAAATATTTTCTCTTGTTGGCGCGTAGAAGGAGGAACCACGCCCTTAGTTTGTTAAGGCTAGGTACGCGTCAGGTATTTTGACTAGGTAGATAAGGTTATCACGTAATCGGATAATTATCGTTGGCTTATAATTATAGTAGATTAATTGTCGAAGGGTTGGTTGTTTGAGCGAGGCATTTTGCTGATTGACTGTAGTGTGTACCTTTAATTGTAGTGTAACTTGTATATAATTTAATAAATAGTAATTGTATTTGTGTAATTTGTATTTAACTTGATTTGATCGTACTTGTATTTGTTATTTGTTAATTGATTTGTGTTTGAGCCGCGTATTAGTTTGTATTTAGTAGTGATGCCATCGCACAAGCTACAGATTCGTTGCCTGAGGGCGGAGGTGCGCTGGGCCACTAGCGCCCATGCTTTGATAGGTCGACTGGATAGGGTCTATAACTTGAGGAAGCGGCTCGAGCAGGTCGATGCTCGAAAGGCCGCAGTGAAGGAGGCTTACGCTGAGCTCGAGGACTCGGAAGTGGAAAAGGGAGTCCTGGACGCCTGCTGCGCCTTCCTTTCGCTCACGGACGATTTGATCGAGGCGGGGGCCAAGGATGCGGAGGAAGCGCGTGAAGCTCAGCTGAGTGGCCTGCCCGAGTCCCCTCGGAAGCAGCCTATTCAGCCGGAGCTGTTAGGACGACTACCGACTCTGGACCTGCCAAGGTTCTCCGGGGTCCTCTCCGAATGGCTGACGTTCGTCGGTCTGTTTGACAGCCCAGTGGACGCCCGGAGGGACTTGACACCCAGCCAGAAAATGGGGTACCTCCTAGCCTGATTGGAGGGGGAAGCCCTGGGCGTCGTCGGCCAGCTGAAATTGTCGGATGACGCTTACCAGAATGCTCGGGAATGCACCATACAATTTTGTGCCTGGGCGCATCCGCTAGGGGCTCTGCTGGGTCATCGGCTCCCACGGGCGGGGGTGCCCAGCCATGCCCTCTGTCAGGCGACGCTCGTTGCTCGCCTACCGGCCTCCGTGCCCAGGGCTCGTGCCCTGCAGCCCGATGGCTTGTCGGCCGTGTCCACTGTATTTGGGCACAGTTTCTTTGGACTGGTTCTGTGGTCTCCATCTCCTCAGACGGCCGACCCCCTCTCTGTTCTGGGCGTGTCCTTTCGGACGTCGTCCAGCGGTTCTGGGAAATTGAGGAGCCACCACATGCGACTTGAGTCAACTCACTGGACCGTGAGTGCGAGTTGTTCTACCAGAACAATACCGGCCGTCGTGGCGACGGTAGTTTCGTCACTCGCTTACCCTTTCTGGACTCACGTCCCCCTTTTGGCCAATCTCGTGCACTGGCCGAGAAGAGGTTGTTCTCCATGGAGCGCCGCATGCGACGCGACCCAGCCTTTCGCGACAAATCTGTCGAGTTCATGCGCGAGTATCATGAGCTGGGCCACATGTCACCGTCCACCTTCGAATGGCGTTCACAGGAGCACTACTTCCTCCATCACCATGCGGTCTTCAGGACCCCCGAGAGTAAGATTCGGGTAGTTTTTGACGGCTCCGCCCCCACGTCAAATGGTGTGTCTCTGAACCAGTGTCTCTACTCTGGTCCTAAATTAATCAAGGATATATCCGACATTTTGACCCACTTCCGTCGGCACCAAGTGTAGCCGTTTTTGTAGCCGACATTCGGATGATGTTTCGACAATCAGTGGTCCATCGTGATGACCGTCGATATCAGCTGATATTGTGGCGCGAGAAGCCCAGCGATCCGATACAGGTGTTTGAGTTGAACACCACTACTTATGGACTCCGGTCCAGCCCGTATATCGCCATGCGAACGCTCCTTGAACTAGCTGAGAGAGAGAGCGTCTAAGATACGCTCGGGGGGCTTCTATCTTGGAGACTTCGGTCTGCATGGACGACATTTGTACGGGCGCTTCCACCGTCGAGGAGGCCCTTGTCTTCCGAGACGAATTAATTGCCATCCTGAAGGCCAGAGGTTATGAGTTGCGTAAATGGTCATCAAACTCCCCTCATATTTTGAAGGACCTCCCAGGAGAGGATCAACAAGACCCTCATCTATTCGAGCACCCTGAAAATCCTAATTTGTTGATTGTGCTGGGCATTCAATATCAGCCTGTTCAGGATACCTTCACGTATCGAGTAAAACTCAATCCCCTCCCAAAGCATGGACCAAGCGCTCCGTGCTGTCTACAGTAGCCCGCACCTTCGACCCTAATGGATTGATCACCCCGGTCATCTTTTTGGCTAAGTGATTTCTTCAAAAGCTCTGGATATCCGGGTTGGGTTGGGACGAGCCTATTAGCGGAACTCTCTTGCGAGAGTGGCTCTCTATTGTCTCCTCCCTTCCGGACATCAACCGGGTCTCCATGTCAAGGTGCTTCCTCCCTCCAGGGAAATGCCGGGCTACCCTACATGGGTTTTGCGACGCCTCTGAGAAAGGCTATGCTGCTGTCGTATATTTGCGGACTGTGAGCTCTTCTGGTCATACTGCAGTCCATCTCGTACTTGCTAAAAGCAAGGTTGCTCCCATTAGGTCCCGCTTAACTATCCCTAAATTGGAACTGTCCAGAGCCGCTCTTCTCACGCGATTCCTCAACCACGTTCACTCGTCTTTGACGGCTGTAATCGACATTACGGACGTCTACGCTTGGTCGGACAGTGAGATAGTACTTTGTTGGCTCAAAGCTGCACCTCACAATCTTGAGGTCTTTGTGGCGAACCGCGTGTCTCAAATCCAGAGTTCTGAGACTTCTCTAAACTGGAGACATGTCCCAGGGGAGTTGAATCCCGCAGACTGCGCTTCTCGCGGCTGTGAAGCCCCCTCGTTGGATAACCACCCCAGTTGGTTGAGTCTCAGTCATTCTGGCCCCAGGGTAAATACTCCGAACCGATTGAATTGCCTGGCCTACGAGCCCGAGTAGGAGTGGGCAAGGATAAGCCCACTCGGGATCTCTCCCTTTTAGAACGGTACAGCTCTCTCGATAATCTCTTAGGAGTGACTGCTTGGTTGCGCCGATTTGTCCGCAATTTGAGAGACCTGTCCAACCGGATCTCTGACTCCGTTTTGTCCCCTAGCGAGCGTCGTGAAGCTTTGATGCATTGGACCCGTATGGTACAAGCGGAACATTTTGAGCCCGTGATTGAAAACTTGAGCCGGGGTTCCGTTGTCAAGGGCGCTCTGGCCCGTCTGAGCCTCTTCCTGGACGACGTTGGGATGCTGTGCATTGGTGGACATTTGAAAAATTCTCAACTGCCGTACGGGGCTCGACACCCGTTACTGCTCCCCAAGGACGGCGCCTTTGTCCGGTTGCTGGTAGCCCACCATCATGTTAAGAATGCCCACGCTGGGTGTAACGCTCCTTCGGCTATTTTGCAGCGGGAGTTTTGAATTTTGGCTGGCCGACGCACCATTCGGAGCGTCATCTTTAAGTGCATACCATGTTATAAACTGAAGGCCACCATATCGCAGCCTATGATGGGTGATTTACCACCCGACCGCGTCAGGGCCATCCGACCATTCGCTGGAGTCGGAACAGACTTTGCTGGCCCCTTCCTCGTCAAGTCCTCCAAGCTTCGTAACGCGCGTTCACATAAGGCCTATCTGTGCGTTTTCATGTGCCTCTCCACTAAGGCCGTTCACTTATAACTGGTAAGTGCCCTCAGCACTGAAGCCTTAGTGGCCCCGCTGGGCCGCTTCGTATCACGTCGCGGTTTGCCGGACCTGATCCGGTCTGATTGCGGAACGAATTATAAGGGCACGGATAGATATTTGAAAGAGGTCGTCGAATTTCTATCCAACAACAGGACGTATTTAGGTACTGCGATGTCCAAAAAGGGCATCCAGTGGAAATTCGACCCACCGGCTTGCCCACACTGGGGCGGTATTTTTGAGGCGATGGTTAAGGTTGCAAAAACGCATCTCCGTCGCGTTATTAGCGAAACTATTTTGACATTTGAGGAGCTTGCCCCTGTATTCTGTTAAATTGAGGCGGTACTCCCTTCTCGTCCGATCCGAATGATTTGGAGGTTCTAACCCCGGGACACTTCTTGATTGGCCAGCCGCTTGACGTCCTACCCGAGTACCCCTTCAGGGAAGTAAACTCTTCTCTGGAGTACCTACATCTTTTGCAGCAGCGCATTAAGTGGTCTAACAAGACGGATCCTCCTCGGGTTGGAGACCTCGTGTTAGTTAAAGAACCTAACGCTTTGCCTTTGTATTGGCGCCGTGGGCTCATTGTTAAGCTGTCGTATGGATCGGATGGGTGCCTAGGTTGGCCGAGGTTTTGGTTGGAGATTCGGTCTTGCAACGTGCCGTCGCGACCCTATCCCGTTTGCCAATTTACTCGCGGACATAAGTCCTTATGCCCGGGACGGGGGTTTGTTTGCGCCAAACGCTAAAATTTAAAATTACTATAACGGAGGCGCGTTAGCGCGCTTCTTCGATGTACCTAGCACCGGCTGGCACGCGGCTCGCGGGCGCCTCCCCGCACGCGCCGAGCGCGTGGGAGATCGGGTATTTTTTGTCGTCAAGCGGCGGCCTGGCATTGCATTGCTGTGAGTCGAATTGAGCCGCGTGGTTACCTCTGATAGTGTCGATTTTGATAGCAAATTTTCGCAACGACGAGGAATTGTGTAGTCTAGAACATTAGACGCCGGGTTGGCCAATTGTTGAGAAGTTAATGTTTAATTGTACAGTTGCGTTAAGTGCCTTAAAAGGTCGCGTTCGGTTTTCGAAATAATTTGTTGCGGAGTGAACGGAAGTGAACTTTGACCCACCGGTCATCAGTCGTGCCGCGTGTTACGTTTTTTGATTATAATTAACGGGATTTAGTTGCGTCTTGAAGTTAGTTAAATGTACAATAAAGTTGATAGACTGACATAGTGAATTGGAGAAAGAAATTGTCCATTGCTGCCGCCGCTGGAGAATACCACGCCGGGGGCGGTGCCGGAGTCAGGGTTGCTGCTGATTAAATGGGCTAATTCAGGTTACACATATATACACTTCTCACACACTACTTACATTCACGACAATTAACGCCTGAACGAGCCCTATGTGCCTTCTTTGCCTCTGAACATGCTATGAAATCTTTCTGGCATTTACCACCAGCCACTACCTTAGGTATCTCAGAGGACATAATGGATTTAATAACGATGCCACCGCATGAAGAACATAGTTTATTGGTGTGTATAATATACATAGTTTATTGGTCATGTAGAAAGAATGAATGAGGAAAGAGTGACTAAGCAAATTTATGTTGCAGAGGTGAACGGCATAGTCGGGAAGGGACGCCCTAGGCGAAAGTTTATCGACCAAATTGGCGATATACTAAAAATGGGCCAAATCAAGAGTACCTTTAACCGACGAGCGTGTATGCGTAGGTATATGGATGTGGAGGAAGCGAGAGAGGTGTGTCAGGATCGTGCCAAATGGAAGTACATAGTCTCTGCCTACCCCTTTGGGTGACAGGCGTGAGTGTTTATGTACGTATAATAAATTAATAAGTAAAAATATAACTCGAAAAAAATTAAGCGTATATATACATTTCCGTAGGCGCATTCATCAATGTCCTCGCAGCGTTGCTGTGCGACTAGCCGGTGTCCCGCCGGGCACTGGCATGAGTAACCCCCGAAGAAGTTTTCACAGCGCTGCAGGGGACCGCATTCCGATATGTTACGGGCGCATTCGTCGATGTCTGTGGAAATTGACAATTTTATACCTTTACCGTTATAGTTACAGTCATAGATTGCTTGGGGGGGGGGGGGGGGGTATGTGCCACGCTTGGCAGGCGGGTTGGCAACCGTAGCTTTTTATTTTTTTACTTGTTATTAGGAAGACGTTGATGCCTACCTCCTGATTTGTTTCTATCTGTCACCTCTTACGACACGATGTTGGACCCTGAGGGCTAGGAACGCTAATGTTAAATCTAGACACACGGCAATGTGTCAGCCAAGTTTGTAAAAGAAATGTCCAAGGCACCAAGCTGTGTGCTATTTCTAGCACTTACTGATTTACTTATCAAAAATCTAGATCATTTCTATGGCACTTAAAAACTAGGAATTTGATCTCAACATTGAAAGAAAACAAGTGGTAAAATTAAAAATGTTGTACAACCGACTTCAATGTACGAGTAAATTATTAAGGATAACTTCAAAACTACTGGTCAGACCTTGATCAAATTTATTTGGGACCACATGAGAAGTACCAATTTTCAAATAAAAAAACAATTATCGAAATCGGTTTACCAAGAAAAAAGTTATTGAAGTAAAACCAAAAAAATCTATAGTCGAATTGAGTAACTCCTCCTTTTCGAAGATGCTTGAAAAATGTCGATATTCGGTGACGACAAAGTTATTGGTGTGGTCAGATTTACCGTTACCGTTATAGCCTATTAAAGTCCACTGCTGAACATAGGCCTCCCTCTTAGATTGCCTCATAGGAGGTACATTGCCATAATTGCTACGCTTGGGAAGTGGAATGGCAACCGCAGTTTTATTTTTATTTTTAGTCGTTATTAGGAAGACGATGCTGTCCATCTCCTGATTGTTTCCTACTGTCGCTTCTTACGACACCCACGGGATGATATGGGGTAGTGGATATTCTTACACCGCCACTACACGGTATACGGTTATATAACGGTAAGTTCAATTAAATTACCTACGTAGTTTAAATTAAAATAGTTGTATAACAATAAAGCATTAACGCACGATAAACGTTCATGGTTTGATTTTTTATATGTATAATGTATATACATACTAGCTGTCCCCCGCAACTCCGCCCGCGTTGCTTTTTTTTTTGTAGAATAAGGGTGATAGGGCACACAGTCCACCTGATGGTAAGTGGTTGCTGTGGCCCAAAGACATCTACATCTATCTTCGTTTGCGAATTAAAATGCAGATGCGTTGTCAGCCGTGAGGACTAAGATGGAATGCCTCTTTTCCAGTAAAAAGGGCATCACCCTTGCTATAGATAGAAGTCTGCTGCACGACAATCGATGTCTCTTTCAAGCCGGTCTTTATGACTTCTTCGAATTTGACAATTTTACTCATATTTTTGTTTTTTGAAGTTTATTTAAAAAAAATATTTAAACCTAAAAAAGTGGTAGTTATTTGTGGTAAAGTTTGGAGAATATAGTGGATGACAAAGGGTCTCTAGCTTTGGCTGTGCTAATTTTGCCAACATCTCTGTCATCAACTAGCGTGAGGTACCCATTTGTCGAGCTTCATTATTTTAAATGATTTTTTTTTATAGGATAAGGGTGACACACGGGCCCGACGAGCAAACGAGCACACAGTCCACCTGATGGTAAGTGGTTGCTGCGGCCCATAGACATCTACTTCTATCCTCGTTTGCGAATCAAAATGCAGATGCGTTGCCACCCGTGATGACTAAGATGGAATGCCTCATTTCCAGTAAAAAGGGCCTCCGGCCACCTGCACTCACCAAGCGAAACGCAGAGGTAAACCTCTACTTCCCGCTGGTATTCTGTGAGGTCGTGGTACCACCCCGGTTCGAGCCGGCCCATCCGTGCGACAGCAAAAGCTGCCGCGTGGCCCTACCACGTATAAATTTATTACAAATTTACTACGATTTCATGGGTTTTAATTTTTTTGCGCGGAACCCTAATTCTTTTACTAAAAAGTATCCTGCAATATTCCTTATAACATCAGCTATCTGGCAGTGAAAGTCCTGTCAAAATCGGTCCAGCTGTTTCGGAGATTAGCCGGAAAAAATCATAGACAGACAAAAATTTTAAAAATTGTTTTTTGTTATTAGTACCGTATATACTTTCATATGCATTTATTAAAAAACTGTTATTTTACCATTACAAACAGACACTTCAATTTTATTTATTTGTATAGATTAATAAAAGGGGAAACTATTTTATTAATTATATACGACTAAAGACATAAATAAGAGGGGCCGAGTTCGGTACAAACCACGTTCATGGTTGTCAGCTTCGTCAATATCCAGTACAAAGTCCACTGTTTTCTTTTATTTAATAAGTTTAACTGGAACTTTAATATGGAATTATAGAATACAGACTAACCCACACAACGTTTTTCAGGTGTGAGCTTGTATCCCCATGGGCAGGAAGTTATCACTGCGGCGGAAAATGGCGATCTGGAATACGTCGGCCGCATCACGCGTGTCCCTCGCTGCCCGTACTGAGCGCCCACTGTGATCACATTCGTATCCGGGAGGACCGCCGGTGGCTCCCGCGCTGATGGGACTACGATATTTAAGTAAATAGTCAGCATAGTTATATATTAAGAATCAAAATACAGATTTTGTCGCCGCTGAGGTCTAAGATGGACGGACATTACCATTTAAAGGGCCGCAGAAAAAAGAACCAGAAGGAGCAACAATCTGCACAAGGTGGCTGGTAGAAGCTGGGCTAAGTGGCGCGCCTTGGGAGAGGCCTATGTCCAGCGGTTGACTGCCGCAGGCTGATGATGATGATGATGATATTCAGGTGTATTGCCTTCTGTGGTGAGATAGACTGCCCCAATATCATAAAATATTGTATTAACGGTTCTCATCAGTAACAATAAGAAAGAAAGAAAACGCGAAGTGTTTCATTTGTAAAAAGGCCCCTAACAAATTCACCATGCTATGTAGGCGAGATAGTGCAGACAGTGTTGATACTCTACCACTGGTAATGCTTTTCGTAGTAAATGTGAAGAGCTTAAAGTTTAGCACATTTTTATGAATTTTCCGCAATCAATCGGTAGGTGTATTACGTATCTTGCAGAAGGCTAGCGATAGCGAAATTAGAACAATAATTGCTGATAAATCGCAGATTCATATTACGTACCAGTGTTAACCAAGCCCTAGCTAACTAGCGATCACAAGGCAGCGCTGTCTCTAGTTAGCTTGGTTATTGCTGATACATAATACGAATTATTGTTCTAATTTCGCTATCGCTAGCCTTCTGCAAGATACGTAATACGTCTACGGATTCGCTGTCTGGCCAATTGGCTAGGGCAGTGATTCCCAAAGTATTATGGGCAAGAGACCCCTTTTCGAAAACGAACTGATACCTCAGACCTCCATAGCCACATTACTTTAAAAATCCTATTTCTATTTTTTTCCCTATTGACACAAAATACTTACCAATTTAAAAACTTAGCTTAAACTTAACTTAGTAAACTATTATTATAACAAGTTATATATTACATTATTATAACAAGTTGGTACACGTAACACAACTTATACAGTATCTTGAAAGTTTCAAATAAGAACGTGTTAATTAATAGGGGTTGGTTTTTAGATCTCGTCGACCCCCAAAATCAGTTTTCGTTTATGTCGACCCCAAGGGATCGATATCGACCACTTTGAGAATCACTGGGCTAGAGCCTCGTTTCTAAACAACTAACGTAATTTCACTTGGAAATTGGCACATGAAAAGAGTCAAGAGTCATGAAAAGAAATACACCCCGTCAAAAGAGGTTAAATTAAAATGCCATTCTCACAATATGTGGGTTCTTCAGTCTCCGCACGACATCTCTTTCCGCACACACAACGGTACCCGCCCTCAGTGTTGACGCAGTCTTCTTTCGGCGAACAATTTGCCCTGTTTGCCGCGCATTCGTCTATATCTGAAATGTAATACATGAGTTGTAATAAAGGTTTTACCAGCGATACCGTCACTACCTCAGATCTTGAAATCTTAGAACAAATGACGAAGAGGTGAAAACATTTTTTTAAATTATTATAAGCCAGTGCTTGACTGTCTACGAGCACTTAACCCAATGACCGCTATCCCACCTGATGGTAACATCGTCGCTATCCCCTTCCGTGCTTCAACCATAATAGCTGTAACTTTTCCCTACCACATAAGCATACTACCGTCTGAACCGTAAGGTTCGAACGTACATACAAATGAAAGCCATTCTGTTTTTTTTTTAAATATGAGTAACATTAGAGCCCCCAGTTCACTTCAGCCACATCACAAAACGCGGCAACAATATGCTGTTATTTTACGTTAGTGTTCTGTATAGAGATGATCCCGAGCTTCAGCCTCCCCTAAATAAGACCCTGTCTGTGCATTCATAGAATTTACAATGATGAAGCCTGCTGAAAACGGATAGAACGTTACTAATATTCCTTTTATGATAATATTTGTTCATATTATGAAACTGAGACGTGGTTCTTCATTGCTGGTCATATGAGGAAGCTTAAGGTTGCTCAGCGAATTATCAAGAGGACTATGCTTGGAATTTCTCTGCGTGATAGAATCAATCAATTAAGAATTTTTTTTATTGTTAATTTCACAAGTAAATATGTTTACAGTTTACTCACCAACACATTTTCCTAGAATGGAGCTATAGATGTAACCAAAATCGCATTGCTTCGGAGGCGTGTACCAAGGCAGACGGGGTCTCGGTACGCGTGGCCATTCTGTACTGGTTCTTGTAACTACAAAAAAAACCTTTTAATTTATTATTATTATCTTACTAATTTTCTTCAATAAATAGATGAAATGTTAAATTTATCAATCTTATTCGCCTTCGACACAAAGATTCCTTGTACACTACTTAACATAGTAACTAATTAAAACGTTTAGTTTGTTAAGGTTCTAGATTGACAGTAGAATTCTGACCGCTGACAATATATACGCGTTAACTACTAATAAAGCCCCAATAAACTGTGAGCAGTCCATTGATGAAGATTTTCCTTATGATCACTACCCTGGCTAGGCGATTGACAAGATTTCTATTTTTTTAGGATTACCATGTGCAAAAGGGTGAGGTGTTCGGATTGACAAACTAGCACACTTTTACTCATGTGCTCTAATCGTCATTTGATGTCATTTTAATTTTAAATTTATTAATATCATTAATTAATATAGTATACAATATTAAAAAAAACTATAATAAAAAAAACTAAAACTAATAACTTAATTATCATACAGTCCTACTCCCCGTAGTATCGTGCCAAGAACGGTGGCTTTCTTTTCCTAGCTGAATGGCTATACTTAGCCTTTGAGCGAGAAAAGAACCAGCCCTCTTATCACCAGCAGCAACGACACGTCGGGGGTAGAGTTCCTTTAGGAACTTCACCGCACGTGGATCCCATGGACCAATTATCTCTACAGCAAATGACACAAATATGTAGTCATCTATCAGAAACTCATATTTGCGCCACTTACTTAGTTCAGCTGCCTCTAATGGCGCTGAGATGAGAGGCCGCCAAGGTAGTAGCATCCTCTCCTCTCTCCCAAGGGATCAATGTCGTACCGTCGGATCTCCTGCAATCGTCTTTAAATATTCCACAAGGCTCTAAAATCTAGAGAACATTTATAGAGACAAGAGCCCTTCGGATAACATCGTCCAAAGAACCGTGCCTTAAAACCTTTTAAATTATTTTTAAATGTGTTTTTTTTTGAAGTTATACTTCTTTTGGGGCGTTTGGGAATTATTATGGGAGTGATTTTTTTACGATGCGCGCGCACTCCGACACATGAAAACGGCACCATGAAGTTGTTACGTTGCGCGCACACACTGACACCTCAAAGCGACAACTTCATTGGGTAACTCTCTCAAGTTTTCGTGGGAACTGATAACTATATTTAAGGTTACGCTAAAGAAGTATAACTTCCTACGTGCGCACATAAGTACACACACACACACACACACACACACACACACGCGCGCGCGCGCGCGCGCGCGCACGCACGCACGCATGCACGCACGCACACACGCATGCTATATTAGCTATATTAGTAGTATAGTTGTAGCACGAATGGGTCGGCTCGACCGGGGAAGGACCACGCTCTCACAGAATACCAGCGTAAAATAGCAGTTTAAAACTGCTGTGTTTCTTATGGTGAGTGTAGAGAACCGGAGACCCTTTTTACTGGAAAAGAGGCATTCCATCTTAGTCCTCACGGGTGATAACGCATCTGCATTTTGATTCGCAAGCGAGGATAGATGTAGATGTCTATGGGCCACAGCAACCACTTACCATCAGATGGACTGTGTTGTCACCCTATCCTATAAAAAATAATTTTGATATTCTGTGTGCTGACCGTTCGAATTATAAGATGTACACCTCGAATAGCGCTTGCCTCTTCACTCAGCCATAGATTAAGGCCTCAGTATGAAACCAGGTAAACAAGTCTGTCTGGGTAGCTACCTTCTATATCTATTATTGTCTTCATATTGCTTATATATTGTCGTCAAATAGCTCCTCAGAGATGACAAACGCACCACTAGCCTTCTTTGTTTGAAGTTGGTGGCAGACGTCTACGAGCCGCAGAGGCCAGTTATTATCAGGTGGACTATAAGTTAGTTTGTCACTTCAGTTTTATATAACTAGTGTTTGGTGAAGCGTGCAGCGTGGCTTCATGATAAGCATACATTTTTGTATTACAGGATCATGAGTGGCAACCACTCGAGTTGTATGAAAAATCCAGCTCCACGCCGCTGTACTCTAATACCCCGTTATACTCTCTCCACTCAGGTTAGGCTTAAGTTTATGCGACATTGCGAGATGGTAATTCTCCTGCACCGCTACCACAAGGTAATTTAAAAACAATTTTAATTAAATTATTGTACTTTACATTTATAATATTACCTGCAGTAGTACTTTCAGTCGTTGACGTAGTTGTTTTAACAGTCGTTGGTCTCGGCGTGGTAGTTGTGGTAGTGGAAGTGGTGGTGGTGCTGGTGGTAGTTGCGACTACACACCATCCACTGAGGTCGCGATGGAATCCTGGCATGCAGTCGCACATGTAACCACCTTGCCTATTTTGGCACACCTCCAGACTACTGCAGATGTGTCTTCCCGTCTCACATTCGTTAATGTCTGGACAGGACAGCAAAAACAGAGGTGATTGATTTATTTAAATACTAAATCTACTATTAAATAATTTCTTTAATCGCCTTTAGGTCATTACATCATATACGAGTAGTAAATTACAAAATAGTAATTTACTAAATATTTGGAGTACAGAATTTATTTGTCGAACATTATTATCACGGGCGGATACAAGATTTTTTATTTATTGGTGGAGGGGAGGGGAGGGATAGCTTCTGAAAGCGTGAGGGAATACCGGTGCACCGTGTAGTGGCGGGTAAGAATACTCACTACCCCATATCTTCCCGTGGATGTCGTAAGAGGCGACAGAAGGAAACTGAGGCAGAGGATGGGCAGCAGTATCTTTCTGATAACAGCAAAACAACAATAAAAAAGTTTGAGGTTGCCAACCCGCTTGCCAAGCGTGGCAACTATGGCAATATACCCTCTATGATAGTAACGAAGAGATGGCCCCCAGACCCCGGCGGCCCCGCTATTCCTGGGTACGGTAGCGACCATGGTAACGACGGGGTCCCCTACCCCAAAAAATGAGATTGACTTCATTATGACAGCCAGACGACAACTATTCAGTGATGTCTCAGTGATCGCGAGGGTGAAAACCGGCAGCGATCACCAATTGGTGAGAAGCACACTGAACCTAAACGTTAAGTTGGAGAGGTCACGTCTAATGAAGTCAACGCTCCGTCCCCCTCGTGCTCTAATGCAAAGTCCCGAAACCTTTCATCTCGAGCTACGAAACCGTTTTCAGTGCCTAGAAGATTGCAATGCAGTGGACGATATGAATGACAAGCTCGTGGAAACTGTCCATGCGGTCGGAGCTAAGTTTTGCAAGACCCGCCGCAGAAGAACACAGAAACTGAACACACAGATCTCCAAATGCATGCGGCGGGACTTACGCAACTTTAATACTGCTCGTATTGAAGAAGCGATCGAGCGGAACCAGGGCTCCAAAGTTTTTGCTAGAGATCTGTCTGCCAGAAAGAGCCAACTGTCGAAGCTGAAAACCGAGTGTTGCAGCGTCGTTTCCGAGACACCTGAGATTTTGAGTGAGATTGAGAGGTTCTATGGGCAGCTGTACACATCATCGTTAGAGCCACACGCAAGTGTGAGTAACGATCCAAGAGCGAGTCTTATCTGACACTATTCCGATGATATCCCGGACGTCAGTCTGAGCGAGATTAGAATGGCTCTCCATCCAGCACCTTAAAAACGGCAAGGCCCCAGGCGAGGATGGAATTACAGCGGAGCTTCTGAAAGCGGGTGGAAAACCGGTACTTGAAGTCCTTCAGAAGCTCTTTAATTCCGTCCTCCATGGTGGCATTACACCGGAGGCGTGGAGCAGAAGTGCGGTGGTCTTGTCCTTCAAGAAAGGTGACAACGCTCTCTTGAAGACCTACAGACCGATTTCGCTTCTGAGCCGCGTCAACGTGCTGTTTTCGAGATTACGAATCATCTCGCGCGCAGACTTGACGACTTCCAGTCTCCCGAACAAACCGGTTTCTGAATAGGCTTTAGCACCGTAGACCACATACATACCCTTCGGCATATTGTACAGATGTCCGAGGAGTACAATTTGCCACTATGTCTGGCGTATGTGGACTATGAGAAAGCCTTTGATTTCGTCGAAATTTGGGAGGTGCTGCAGTCACTTCAGCGGTGCCAAGTTGACTGTTGGTATATCGAAGTGCTGAAATGCTTGTACAGTACGGCTACAATGGCTATCCGAGTACAGAACTAGATACGAAACCTATCCACTTGCAGAGAGGTGTAAGACAGGGTGACGTTATATCCCCGAAACTCTTCGCGGCATTGGAAGACTTTTTCATGCTTCTGGACTGGAAAGGATACGGTATTAACATCAATGTCGAGTACATTATTCACCTCCGATTTGCCGACGATATAGTCTTTATGGCAAAATCGCTGGAGGACCTAAGCACTGTGCTCAATGACCTCAATAGTGTTTCTCAACAGATAGGTCTTAAGATGAACATGGATAGAACAAAGATCATGTTTAATGTCCATGTCACACCTATACCGGTAGTTGTTGGGAGCACTAAGCTCGAAGTTGTTGACGAGTATGTTTACCCAGGACGAATAGTCCGACTAGGTAAGTCCAACTTCGACCGAGAGGTCAATCGACGGATTCAACTCGGTTGGACAGCGTTCGGGAAATTACGACACATCTTCTCGTCAGGTATACCTCAAAACTTGAAAACGATATTGTAAAACCAGTGCGTTGGGGTTGTTATAAACTAATTTGCTTGATTTCGCGTAAAGAAAAGTGCTGGCGGTGATAGTGCTGGGATTAACGGCGACGGGTATAGTGCGCGCGATTGAGGACGGGTGGGAGGTCCCCTTAAAACTGGACAGGACACATCATTTTCTTTCTTTACGCGGAATTAAGCAAATTAGTTTATAACAACCCCATTATAATGGATTTCCGCAAAGTAACGCCTGATTCTATCAAACCAGTGCGTGTTGCCAATGATGATCTATGGAACTGAGACGTGGTCCTTCACTGCTGGCCGGATGAGGCAGCTCAAGGTCGCTAAGCGAGCTATGGAGAGGGCTATGCTCGGAGTTTCTCTGCGTGATAAACTTAGAAATGAGGATATCCGCAGTAGAACGAGAGTGACCGACATAGCCCAACGGACTAGTAAGCTGAAGTGGCAATGGGCCGGCCATATAGCTCGAAGAGCGGACAACCGATGGGGAAAAAAGGTTCTCGAGTGGCGGCCTCGTACCGGCGGACGAAGTGTAGGGTGTCCCCCTACTAGATGGAGTGATGACCTGGTAAGATATGCAGGAAGTCGATGGATGCAGTGGCTCAGGACCGTGCTTTGTGGTATTCCTTGGGGGAGGCTAGGTTCAGCAGTGGACTTTTGAACGGCTGTAATGATGATGATGATGACAACAGATAGGAAGTATGCAACATTGTTTTTATCATACGTGTGATTAAAATAACCACCGCGAAAAAAATCTCATGTGATAATATTTTTCCAAATATTAAATACTTATTTATGTATGTTATTTTGTGCTTACTTTTTCAATAAAAAGTATTTTATAGTTAACAAACAATAACACGTATTTTGTTGTATCCTTATATATCATACTCGTAAATAAGTGCAAATAACGATAATCGCCAAATAATTTTTTTACCCTCGGTCGATATTTTTGCTTCTAGCTCGAAAAGGCGCGGTAATGACGTGGACTTTTTTATTTTCTTGTATTACTGAATAGTTTACAAACCTAATCATTAACTCGACATCGGCAGCTATCGGCAACAAGGAAACCTCTATTGTAAATCAAAAAGACGGATTTTTTTTATGACACTTAAAATTTAAAACTAAAATAAAAAGAATATTTCTTATAGAAACAAAAGGTACTTATAAACTAAAGATCCTGAACAATCCAAAAATGTATAATACTTTTTTGAAGAACTTAGAAAATGTCTTAAGTTGAACTTCCATAACGAGTAATCTAATTAATATGAAATTATCGAAATACAAAGTTTATGTGTAATTTTATATACCTAAAACTGGTTTTATTTTTTACTATTATATCGGATAGGTCTATCATCTCAGAATATAAAACAATCAAAACAGTTTCAGTAACACGACTTTTGTCCGAACCATTTTTGAGATTGAATGCACCGTTTGGTCCCATAGTGCGTCGTTACTCTTAGTCCGATGCCTACGGCTATGCGAATAAAATGGTAAGCTTTTTCCTTCATATTTTATTTTATTTTATTTAAAATTATTTAAGCATGAAGGATGTAACAAGTGACTATATTCCTTACTTTAAACAAGTAGTAGGAAGGCCTTTTATAGGCTTTATATGTGGGAGTGATGTAAATCTTTATATATTAAAATTACGTGTCACATTGTTTGTCCGCGATGAACTAAACTATTGAACTGATTTCAATGACATTTTTAACACTGTATGCAGTTTGGTCCAACTTGAGACCTATCCTAGTTTTTATCCGGATAAGTGACCCCCAAAAATTTTCATTGCTAATTTACGGATTTTTTATAGGACAAAGGGTCGTCGGAAAGGGCAGAACAACGTCTGCCTGGCCAGCTAGTATAATAATAAAATACATATACATACCAAAGTTGCAAGCAATAAAACATCTCAGTGTATCATTCTATAAAATCATCTACATTCTATAAATCTTTCATTAGCATTTTATGTCGTTTACCCGCAGCAAAAAATGATAACTTGAAGGACCTCACACGCAATAACTTATCGATAAATAACCATTAATCATTATTTTATCTACCGATTTCAAAAAGGAGGAGCTTCTCAATTCGAATGTATGTTGTTTTTTTTGTGTGTGTTACCTCATAACTTTTTTCTAGGTGAACCGATTTCGATGATTCTTTTTTTATTTGAAAGCTGGTGCTTCTCATGTGGTCTCATATATAATTTGATCAAGGTTTGACTAATAGTTTTTGAGTTATCCTTAATAATTTATATTGAAGTCGGTTGTACAAAATTTTAAATATTTAACTATACATGCTTACCTATGCAATCGCCACTAGGACTTCTTTCAAATCCATCCAAGCAGTGCAATTCTTCGGGATTAAAATCTGGAGCTTCTGGTTTATTCACTCCAATTACGTTTACCCATTTATCTTTTGGTATTTCACTAGCATTCAACCCGTAACTACCATCTGCTTCTTTCTCTTTCTCTATATTAATGACATTTGTGGGATTTGGGACGGTAACTTCAACAGGATCAATTGTTTCAGGTCTTCTAGGCCTAAATTCGGGTCTTATAGATTCATGTGTAGTGGGACGAATGGGTCTGACAGGGGGGTTCGTGTATGGAGTTCTTCTAGTGGTAGGGATAAGATGTCTGGGATAATACGGATTGTAACCTCCTGCTCGTGACGGCGGCCACACTCTTGTGGTGCGGGTAGTCGTACTAGTTGTTGAGGGTGTCAGTGTCGTGGTCGAAGTTGTCGAAGTGGTAGATGGTCTAGGAGTTGTTGATGTTGTCGAAGTACTTGTTGTGGGAATAGTCACTGATGCGTTAGGCTTTGTATCAATATTCGTTGCGTTTTCTTCTCTGTAAGAGTTTTATTATTTTTGTAAATAACATAATACGTGCTATACATACCTTTAATACATACTTTAAATAAACCTAATAATGCTTATAAATCTACAGTAACCAAATATTTGTTGTGTCTGAGATGTGTAACAATTTTGCTGCAAAATTTGTATCTGTAAACTCCTAAAATGTTGTAGATGTCATATGCATGCTGGACAAATTTTGCCTATATCATATTGCGTATTCTGCAGTTTTGAAATGGTAATGCAGTGGAAAAAAATTTCTATGCAATTTTCCTTGCTCCAGTGTCAACTGGGACGGGATACATACTCTCAAAAACCTCAAAAACTACGAACTCGAATTAATCGCATGCTAAAGTCACAGCCTAAGAAAAAATTTGACTGTGCAATAGTGTTTAAGACGATCGTTCGTCGTCTGTGCTATCACTGTGTATTCAATCAAGAGTGTTTTCACAATCCACTGCCTTATTACTAATCACTACTCGAAAATTTGATCAAAACTTACTATTAAAAGTCTATTGTCAGTCTTCATATTCCGTAACCCAAAAGAGAAAAATATGAAATTTGTTTTTATACTCACTCCGAATCGTAGTACTCATAATCGTAAACAGGTGGTGTGGCGATAGTAGTGGTAGATGTGGTGGCAGGTCGACGTGTACAAGTGTATGAGCCCAGTACATTTAGACAGTGTAGACCTGCCTGACAGTTGTCCAGTTTCAATGCACACTCATCGATGTCTACAAAAGATATGAATATGAATAAAATATACTTACTGGGATTTATATCAATTATGATAGATCACTTTATGGCTGACCAGCTAGCTTTGGCTTAAGATTTTACTATAAATAGCTATTGCTTCTGAATATTGTCAGATTAATAACTGCGTAGTATAAGTCAATATCAAAACTTTCTCATTGAATTAAATCGTCTTCTAAGTTTACTAAGTGTAAAAGTAATTCAACTGTTTCACAAAAAAAACTGTATTTGTGCAGTTTGTAATACTTATTACAATATAAGACCCTACAATCTCATATTATAAAATTACAAACTATAATAAACACAATGACAAGAAATATGATTATGCGATAAATTACAATAATCATTATTATAAAGTGTAGTCCTTACTCAATCACCATTTTCATCATTACAGCCCTTTACAAGTCCACTGCTGAACATAGGCCTCCTCCAAGAAATGCCACAAAGCACGGTCTTCAGCCACCTGCATCCATCGACTTCCTGCATGTCTTACCTACTCGTCACTTTATCTAATGGGAGGTCGCCCTACATTTCGCCAATTGTTCAGTCAGCTTATTATAATTCAAAAATAATATGAACAGTGACATACCGGAGTTTCAGTTGTTTCAGTTGTCAGTTTTTTTTCTATAAAGATTTGGTGGTAAGTAATTAACACTATTTTCTTTATAAGAACATGATGCTTACCAACACAAGATCCAGAAGATGAATCCAACTCAAAGCCATTTTTACAGCGACACTCATGCCCACCGTATGTGTTGATACAATTTTGGAACCGATCGCACAAGTGCGTGCCCTCACGACATTCGTCAATATCTGCAACATTATACAATAGAATATGTTTTTTTTAGAATAAGGGTGACAAACGCGCACACAGGCCGTCTGATGGTAAGTGGATGCTGTGGCCCATAGACATCTAGATTTATCCTCAATTAGGAAATAAAATGCAGATGCGTTATCTCCCTTGAGGACTGAGATAGAATGTCTCGTTTCCAGTAAAAAGGGTCTCCGGTTCTCTACACTCACTATACGAAACACAGCATTAAGCTCCTATTTTACGCTGGTATTCTGTGGGAGCGTGGTCCTACCACGGTCGTGCCGACCCATTCGTACCACAACCATAATATAGCTGTAGCGTGGCTCTACTACGTAAGATAATATTTAAGAATTTAGTAAAATGATAATTTTTCCCGCCTTCGTTAGCTGTAACTAATAATGTAAGTAATAACGTAGTACCAACTTTTATGTGGATTTTGATTACTATTCAAATAACTCACAGAACACCAGCATGAAACAGCAGAATAATGCTGTGTTTCGTATAGTGACTTCAGAGAAGGGAATCGGAGACCTTTTTTCTAGTAACGAGCATTCTACGTTAGTCCTCAGTAGTGACAACGCATATGTATTTTAATTCTTAATATGTCCATTAATACATATATGTATTATTACCACAAGCTTGTTTTGCAATTAGTTACACATATTTCCCTTGTTTTCAATGCCGTAAATCCCAGTCCTGTGAAATTTAATCCCAGAATTATCAGTACTGAAAAAAGGCTGGGATTCCGGGACCTTCCAATTTTTACTCACACCCCACAGGCTGTTATTTTATTAGACGCTTTACCCTTCAAGCGAAAAATAGTGGGTGTAGAGTTATAGGTAGTTATAGGCAAAAAAAGTGATATCTATCTAAATAGGCTCCTAGAAAAAAAAAAAATAACACCACTTCATTATCATCAGCCTGCAAAAGTTTACAGCCAGACAAGGGTCTCTCCCGGTATAGCGAGGATTTGCCATAATCAATCCATAATTTTTCTGGCATTCCCATAACCGCCTCATACATTAACTTCGACACCCATAGACAAAATGGGGTGCTGGATTATCTTACGCCACCATCTCATGGTAATACCATAGTACTATTATTTATTCTGTGGTAATAGGACTAAAATCCAATAAAACATTACTTAATAATATTTTGTAGTGATAAATTACTTTACCTTCACAAATCTTGCCACCGGGTCGTTGTCTGGTTCCTTCTTGGCATGTTTTCTTCGCTAACCTGTTGCACAGTATTAAATATAAATATTAACTGTTATTTTTTTGATTATGTATTTATTCTTAATTTAAAAAGAAAAACTAAGACTAGTAACTTAATTATCATTCAATTTAACGGTGGTAGAGCCACGCGACAGCTTTTGCTGTAGCACGTATGGGCCGGCTCGAGCCGGGTTGGTACCACGACCTCACAGAATACCGGCGTGAAGTTTCGTCTGGTGAGTGCAGATGGCCGGAGGCCCAATTCCTGCCCCCCCCCTCCATCTCCATCAACATGGTAGTGGAATTAAATCAAAGACTACCCCAGGAGGGTAACAGCATCCCTGGAGAATCCCTCGCTGAGCATCCACGAACATGTTACTCCACTCCTGAGCGTGGGTGCTCAGGCTGCCCCGCGTATTTGCGGTGGGGGGGGGGGGGGCAAAGTCCCCCTCAAAAAATTAACTGCTCGGGGCAAACTGAGCAACAAGACCAAGGCGACCCCTGCCACGCTATCCGTGAATTTCTGCAACATCAGGGTACTTAACTCGAACCTAAGCGCCGGGCTTGCTCTTTCTTACAGAGACGCGTGTGTCCTCAGTGGCTGATACTTCGTATCTGGAGTACCCGGGGTACAGATTGGAGCAATCCTTTGTGCCTCGGGCTGGAGTTTGAGTATACGTCAGAGAGGACAACTGTTCTCGACGCCTCGGCAGTCTTGAAAGTTCGGACCTGTCCATCCTTTGGCTACGCGTAGACAGCGACGACCATCCGCGCGTCTACGGGTGCCTCTATAGGTCCCATAGCGGTAATGCCGAAACATACCGAGTCATTGACCACGTCCAAATGGCTACAAATTCCTTGCTACAACACGTCCCATCCGCCGAAGCCCACTACGCCGAATGGCTCGGTTCGGCTCTGTGTTTATGACTTTGCCTTGGCATATGGTCTGACACAACTGGTTACTTCGCCTACGCGGATTCCAGATGTGGACGATCATACACCTTCCCTGTTGGATCTGGTCTGATCCGGAGTGTGGTGCCACTCACGCTCCCCTCGCGGTTGCGTTCTGCAGGTTGCCGCCGTGTTTGGCATTACAGGTCGGCGGATCGCGACGGAATACAGTCTTTCTTTGCATCCTACCTTTTTAGGCCCAAATATAGGCATTTAAAGAGGCATCCAATCACGTACGACTTAGTGTCTCACCCGATGGTGTGAGGTGAGGTAAACGCCGCCGAAGGGGGCGGGGGTGGCCGCGTGCCGCTTGCAGTCGCTCAACGCGCGGGCTGAAAACAGTAGCTTTAGTGCAGCGACGCCGTCGCAACGTAACTTTGTGGTGACCGTGGCAGCGATTTTATGCGACCAGTTTTGGTTTTACCAGGTCTAGATTTTCATTATTTGTGCGCGTTACTTCGCTACTTAAATTGTCTTTCGTGAAGACCGTCTCGGATTCGGTTGTCTAAGATTGATGTGAGTCTACTCGAGCCGCGTGGTTACCTCTGATCGTGTCGATTTTGTTAGCAAATTTATGCAACGACGAGGAATTGTGTAGTCTAGAACATTAGACGCCGGATTGACTAATTGTTGGGAAGTTAATGTTTAATTGTACCGTCGCGTTAAGTGCCTAAAAAGGTCGCGTTCGGTTCTCGAAATAATTTGTTGCTGACTGAACGGAAGTGAACTTTGACCCCCGTTCATCAGTCGTGCCGCGTGTTACGTTTTGATTATAATTAACGGGATTTAGTTGCGTTTTGAAGTTAGTTAAATGTACAATAAAGTTGATAGACTGACATAGTGAATTGAAGAAAGAAATTGTCCATTTGTGCCGCTCCTGGAGAATACCACACCGGGGGGCGGTGCCGGAGTCAGGGTTGCTGCCGACTTCAACGGTCCAGTCAGGTCAACCATAATACACACCACTAAACACCATTTAACATGCACTTACACACCTACGGCCTGACCGAGCCTTGGGACAGTCTTCGCCTCAGAACCAGGTACGTCTTATTTATTTACCTAGCCTATCTCTGTTGTGTAGGTCAATATCCATAGGCCATTGGGCCCGAATTCTCTGGTTGCTCGTCGAGTGTATTACTGATGGGCCCTAATACAGTCGATTTCTGTCCGGGCAACTGAGAACCGTAACATTGTTGGTAGTAAGAACGTAGTTGATTGGGTCTCCAATCGCCCGGCCGTAATATGGATAAAAATAGTACGTAATAAAAATTACATATAAATATTTTTTGTTTGTTGGCGGGGAGAAGGAGGAACCACGCCCGTAGTTTGTTAGGGCTAGGTACGCATCAGGTATTTTGACTAGGTAGATAAGGTTATCACGTAATCGGATAAATATCGTTGGCGTATAATTATAGTAGATTAACTGTCGAAGGGTCGGTTGTTTGAGCGAGGCATTTTGCGGATTGACAGCAGTGTGTACCTTTAATTGTAGTGTAATTTGTATTTAATTTAATAAATAGTAATTGTATTTGTGTAATTTGTATTTGCCGTGTAGTGGCGGTTAAGAATATTCACTACCCCATATCTTCCCGTGGGTGTCGTAAAAGGCGACAAAGGGAAACAGGCAGGAGATGGGCAGCAGCATCTTCCTGGTAACGGCAAAATACAATAAAAAAAACTGTGGTTGCCTACCCGCTCGCCAAGCGTGGCAACTATGGCAATATACCCCCCATGAGCAATGACAATAATAAACGGCCCCCAGTCCCCGGCGGCGCCGCTATTCCTGGCTACGGTGGCGACCATGGTAACGGCGGGGCAGGGTGTGCTAAGAATCTCCGGTGGAGATTCGGTCGCCACCTACGACGTCTCGACCTGGAAACATACAACGCACGCACCCTGAGGACTGACGAGAAAATTGTGGAGCTGGAAGAAGAGATAGACAAGTTACGCTGGCATATTATAGGATTATCCGAAGTCCGAAGAGAGGGGGAGGACACGGTAATCCTCGAATCCGGCAACTTGCTCTATTACCGGGAGGTCTGTCCCAAGGAGGTGTCGGATTTATCGTCCACAAGTCTCTCGTTAACAACGTTGTTTACAAAGATTGAGAGTGTGTTGACGAGGGTTGCGTACCTTATACTCAGAATCACCAAACGGTATTCGCTGAAGGTCATACAGGTTTACGCACCAACCTCGGCACACCCCGATCAGGAGGTGGAGGATATGTATGAGGATATCTCTAGAGCCATGCATTCCTCCAAAACCCAATATACGATGTTAATGGGAGACTTCAATGCAAAACTAGGCACAAGAGAGAACGGTGAGCTGAAAGTGGGGAAATTTGGAATAGGGCAACGGAACCCAAGGGGCCAGCAGCTGGCCGACTTCATGGAGAAAGAGGGACTCTTTATGATGAACTCTTTCTTCCAGAAGTGGCCCCACAGGAAGTGGACCTGGTCGAGCCCCGACGGTTCGACAAAAAATGAGATTGATTTCATTATGACGACCAGACGACAACTCTCCAGTGATGTCTCAGTGATCGCGAGGGTGAAAACCGGCAGCGATCACCGAATGGTTAGAGGCACACTGAACCTAAACGTTAAGTTGGAGAAGTCTCGTCTAATGAAGTCAACTCTCCGTCCCCCTCGTGCTCTAATCCAAGGTCCCGAAACCTTTCAGCTCGAGTTACAAACCCGTTTTCAGTGCCTAGAAGACTGCAATGAAGTGGACGATTTGAATGACAAGCTCGTGGAAACTGTCCATGCGGTCGGAGCTAAGTTCTGCAAGACCCGCCGCAGAAGAACACAAAAACTCTCCGATCACACTCTTAATCTCATGGCTGTTAGACGGGAGATGAAGCTACATTCTTCAACAGATTTGACAGCATACAGGCAACTGAACAGACAGATCTCCAAATGCATGCGGCGGGACTTACGCAACTTCAATACAGCTCGTATTGAAGAAGCGATCGAGCGGAACCAAGGCTCCAAAGTCTTTGCCAGAGATCTGTCTGCCAGAAAGAGCCAACTGTCAAAGCTGAAGACCGAATGTGGCAGCATCGTTTCCGGGGCACCTGAGATTTTGAGTGAGATTGAGAGGTTCTATGGGCAGCTGTACACGTCATCGTTGGAGCCGCACGCAAGTGTGAGTAACGATCCAAGAGCGAGTCTTATCCGACATTATTCCGATGATATCCCGGATGTCAGTCTGAGCGAGATTAGAATAGCTCTCCAGCACCTTAAAAACGGCAAGGCCCCAGGCGAGGATGGAATTACAGCGGAGCTTCTGAAAGCGGGTGGAAAACCGGTACTTGAAGTCCTTCAGAAGCTCTTTAATTCCGTCCTCCATGGTGGCATTACACCGGAGGCGTGGAGCAGAAGTGCGGTGGTCTTGTTCTTCAAGAAAGGCGACAACGCTCTCTTGAAGAACTACAGACCGATTTCCCTTCTGAGCCGCGTCTACGTGCTGTTTTCGAGAGTCATTACGAATCGTCTCGCGCGCAGACTTGACGACTTCCAGCCTCCCGAACAAGCCGGTTTCCGAAAAGGCTTTAGCACCATAGACCACATACATACCCTTCGGCAAATTGTACAGAAGTCCGAGGAGTACAATTTGCCACTATGTCTGGCGTATGTGGACTATGAGAAAGCCTTTGATTCCGTCGAAATTTGGGCGGTGCTGCAGTCCCTTCAGCGATGCCAAGTTGACTGTCGGTATATCGAAGTGTTGAAGTGCTTGTACAGTAGGGCTACGATGGCTATCCGAGTACAGAGCCAGAGTACGAAACCTATCCAATTGCAGAGAGGTGTAAGACAGGGTGACGTCATATCCCCGAAACTCTTCACCGCTGCATTGGAAGATGTTTTCAAGCTTCTGGACTGGAAAGGATACGGTATCAAAATTAATGGCGAGTACATCACTCACCTTCGATTTGCCGACGATATAGTCCTTATGGCAGAATCGCTGGAGGACCTAAGCACTATGCTCAATGACCTCAATAGTGTTTCCCAACGGATAGGTCTTAAGATGAACATGGACAAAACAAAGATCATGTTTAATGTCCATGTCACA